GAGGACTGGTGCAACGAGATAGACACCTAAAACAAACACAAACAGCTTCAAGATTACACGGCGACAGAAAGTATACAGGTTATATTTGGTGAGAATGAAATCGATAGAAGTATACTGATCATGGCCAAACACTCGCCTTAGGCACCTATTGCTGGTTGACTCAAGTTTGTCTCTGAGTTTAGCAGACAAGCAGTGAACATAACATGTGCTGGCATAGTCCAAGGTACTCTGGACAATTGTCAGGTAAAACATGCGGCGGCCGGTCATGGAGACATCGCGGCGCCCGTGGCGGAATGAGGCAACCTTGCACTGTGCCTTTGCGCACACACGCTCAACCTGCTGCTCGAAGCTGAGCGACGAGTCCAATAGGAGGCCAAGGTACAGAACATGGCTGGACTCGGGGATTACGGTGCCTTTGCAGGTGATGCTGGGGATCACGTCCAGTTGCGCTGTACTGTGTAGTGTGTAAAATGCATGGTGCAGTGCAACACCTAAGTACACATGTACTGTACTGTGTAGTGTGTAAAATGCATGGTGCAGTGCAACACCTAAGTACACATGTACTGTACTGTGTAGTGTGTAAAATGCATGGTGCAGTGCAACACCTAAGTACACATGTACTGTACTGTGTAGTGTGTAAAATGCATGGTGCAGTGCAACACCTAAGTACACATGTACTGTACTGTGTGGTGTGTAAAATGCATGGTGCAGTGCAACACCTAAGTACACATGTACTGTACTGTGTAGTGTGTAAAATGCATGGTGCAGTGCAACACCTAAGTACACATGTACTGTACTGTGCAGTGTGTAAAATGCATGGTCCAGTGCAACACCTAAGTACACATGTACTGTACTGTGTAGTGTGTAAAATGCATGGTGCAGTGCAACACCTAAGTACACATGTACTGTACTGTGTGGTGTGTAAAATGCATGGTGCAGTGCAACACCTAAGTACACATGTACTGTACTGTGTGGTGTGTAAAATGCATGGTGCAGTGCAACACCTAAGTACACATGTACTGTACTGTGCAGTGTGTAAAATGCATGGTACAGTGCAACACCTAAGTACACATGTACTGTACTGGGTAGTGTGTAAAATGCATGGGGCAGTGCAACACCTAAGTACACATGTACTGTACTGTGTAGTGTGTAAAATGCATGGTGCAGTGCAACACCTAAGTACACATGTACTGTACTGTGTAGTGTGTAAAATGCATGGTGCAGTGCAACACCTAAGTACACATGTACTGTACTGTGTAGTGTGTAAAATGCATGGTGCAGTGCAACACCTAAGTACACATGTACTGTACTGTGTAGTGTGTAAAATGCATGGTGCAGTGCAACACCTAAGTACACATGTACTGTACTGTGTAGTGTGTAAAATGCATGGTGCAGTGCAACACCTAAGTACACATGTACTGTACTGTGTAGTGTGTAAAATGCATGGGGCAGTGCAACACCTAAGTACACATGTACTGTACTGTGCAGTGTGTAAAATGCATGGTGCAGTGCAACACCTAAGTACACATGTACTGTACTGTGTAGTGTGTAAAATGCATGGTGCAGTGCAACACCTAAGTACACATGTACTGTACTGTGCAGTGTGTAAAATGCATGGTGCAGTGCAACACCTAAGTACACATGTACTGTACTGTGTAGTGTGTAAAATGCATGGTGCAGTGCAACACCTAAGTACACATGTACTGTACTGTGTAGTGTGTAAAATGCATGGTGCAGTGCAACACCTAAGTACACATGTACTGTACTGTGCAGTGTGTAAAATGCATGGTGCAGTGCAACACCTAAGTACACATGTACTGTACTGTGTAGTGTGTAAAATGCATGGTGCAGTGCAACACCTAAGTACACATGTACTGTACTGTGCAGTGTGTAAAATGCATGGTGCAGTGCAACACCTAAGTACACATGTACTGTACTGTGTAGTGTGTAAAATGCATGGTGCAGTGCAACACCTAAGTACACATGTACTGTACTGTGTAGTGTGTAAAATGCATGGTGCAGTGCAACACCTAAGTACACATGTACTGTACTGTGTAGTGTGTAAAATGCATGGTGCAGTGCAACACCTAAGTACACATGTACTGTACTGTGCAGTGTGTAAAATGCATGGTGCAGTGCAACACCTAAGTACACATGTACTGTACTGTGTGGTGTGTAAAATGCATGGTGCAGTGCAACACCTAAGTACACATGTACTGTACTGTGTAGTGTGTAAAATGCATGGTGCAGTGCAACACCTAAGTACACATGTACTGTACTGTGTAGTGTGTAAAATGCATGGTGCAGTGCAACACCTAAGTACACATGTACTGTACTGTGTAGTGTGTAAAATGCATGGGGCAGTGCAACACCTAAGTACACATGTACTGTACTGTGCAGTGTGTAAAATGCATGGTGCAGTGCAACACCTAAGTACACATGTACTGTACTGTGTAGTGTGTAAAATGCATGGTGCAGTGCAACACCTAAGTACACATGTACTGTACTGTGCAGTGTGTAAAATGCATGGTGCAGTGCAACACCTAAGTACACATGTACTGTACTGTGTAGTGTGTAAAATGCATGGTGCAGTGCAACACCTAAGTACACATGTACTGTACTGTGTAGTGTGTAAAATGCATGGTGCAGTGCAACACCTAAGTACACATGTACTGTACTGTGCAGTGTGTAAAATGCATGGTGCAGTGCAACACCTAAGTACATATGTACTGTAGTGTGTAGTGTGTAAAATGCATGGTGCAGTGCAACACCTACATGTAAGTACACATGTACTGTACTGTGTAGTGTGTAAAATGCATGGTGCAGTGCAACACCTAAGTACACATGTACTGTACTGTGTAGTGTGTAAAATGCATGGTGCAGTGCAACACCTAAGTACACATGTACTGTACTGTGCAGTGTGTAAAATGCATGGTGCAGTGCAACACCTAAGTACACATGTACTGTACTGTGTAGTGTGTAAAATGCATGGTGCAGTGCAACACCTAAGTACACATGTACTGTACTGTGTAGTGTGTAAAATGCATGGTGCAGTGCAACACCTAAGTACACATGTACTGTACTGTGTAGTGTGTAAAATGCATGGTGCAGTGCAACACCTAAGTACACATGTACTGTACTGTGTAGTGTGTAAAATGCATGATCCAGTGCAACACCTAAGTACACATGTACTGTACTGTGTAGTGTGTAAAATGCATGGTGCAGTGCAACACCTAAGTACACATGTACTGTACTGTGTAGTGTGTAAAATGCATGGTGCAGTGCAACACCTAAGTACACATGTACTGTACTGTGTAGTGTGTAAAATGCATGGGGCAGTGCAACACCTAAGTACACATGTACTGTACTGTGTAGTGTGTAAAATGCATGGTGCAGTGCAACACCTAAGTACACATGTACTGTACTGTGTAGTGTGTAAAATGCATGGTGCAGTGCAACACCTAAGTACACATGTACTGTACTGTGTAGTGTGTAAAATGCATGATCCAGTGCAACACCTAAGTACACATGTACTGTACTGTGTAGTGTGTAAAATGCATGGTGCAGTGCAACACCTAAGTACACATGTACTGTACTGTGTAGTGTGTAAAATGCATGATGCAGTGCAACACCTAAGTACACATGTACTGTACTGTGTAGTGTGGAAAACGCATGGTGCAGTGCAACACCTAAGTACACATGTACTGTACTGTGTAGTGTGTAAAATGCATGGTGCAGTGCAACACCTAAGTACACATGTACTGTACTGTGTAGTGTGTAAAATGCATGATCCAGTGCAACACCTAAGTACACATGTACTGTACTGTGTAGTGTGTAAAATGCATGGTGCAGTGCAACACCTAAGTACACATGTACTGTACTGTGTAGTGTGTAAAATGCATGGTGCAGTGCAACACCTAAGTACACATGTACTGTACTGTGTAGTGTGTAAAATGCATGGTGCAGTGCAACACCTAAGTACACATGTACTGTACTGTGTAGTGTGTAAAATGCATGATGCAGTGCAACACCTAAGTACACATGTACTGTACTGTGTAGTGTGGAAAACGCATGGTGCAGTGCAACACCTAAGTACACATGTACTGTACTGTGTAGTGTGTAAAATGCATGGTGCAGTGCAACACCTAAGTACACATGTACTGTACTGTGTAGTGTGTAAAATGCATGGTGCAGTGCAACACCTAAGTACACATGTACTGTACTGTGTAGTGTGTAAAATGCATGGTGCAGTGCAACACCTAAGTACACATGTAATACAATCATCATATAGTTAGTACGGCCTTAAGGATAAGTCCTTGTTCCCAGAGATTAGTTACCAGGACAACAGGCAATTCGTACATAACTACTCTCTCACACATGCAGTCATCTTTAAACAATTATGCTCTATTTCTGATTCCTGTTATCATGAAGTACATAGTCAGCCATCTCTCTGTCCCCACGTCGTTTCTCCACAGACCAATTTTGTCATTATCAAATCTCAGCCTTCAGCATATCTCTGCTGTATTTGAGAGTACTCATAAAAAGGACACACTTCAAACAACCTTTGCAAACAGAAACAAATCAAATTCACACTTAGGCTGTTAGGTAGGTCGTCAAAACCTCGTTAGTTACATGTATGTCCAGTGGTTGTCTCTTGTTGTCGCACTACATGTCGCGCTTATTGAGTTTTCTCGCATTTGCACCTTTGTGTCATTATTGCAATTTTCGCTGTTTACTTTAGCTATCTTCTTTCTTTCTTTCTTTCTTTTTGCGCTGTTTTACCACCTTCTTACTGTATTTAATCCACTGTTCCTGTTCCTTTTCTCTTGCCTGTATTTCACCTGATGAGAAGGCTTGAAAGTATACTTGTGAAGACAAAAACTTTCAAGATGTTTGTAATGAGCCTGAAGTGTGTCCTTTTTATGAGTATTATCGCATTTTTGTCTCAGAGGAAACTGTTTACGTATTTGAGAGTGATGGAAAAAAAGGATTTACATATGGATTAGCTGAACTATAGTCACCATCAGTGCACACACAGGTGAAAACAGCTCAGTGACATGCTTCACCGCACTCATACATTGCATCCAGCACAACACATTGAGCAGCAGACAGCACACAGGCACACTGTGAAGGTCGGGTCTCCGTATGGATAACAAAAACAAGACTTCCGAATAATGATGATGAAAATAGAGAAAGTGCAATGCACAATACACTAACAAGTTGTGTACTGTAATGACGTAATGACGTAATGACGTAATGATCCAGCAAGGCAATTGCAGCAGTGGTACATGGTGTAGACCATGGTAAAGTGTAAACGCATCATGTTAAGTGCAATGATAAGGAAAACAAGTGCAACATCAGTGCAGACACACACACACACACACACACACACACACACACACACACACACACACATTCTGTGCTGTAATTAAAAAAGAAGGCATGCCTAGTAAATTGCTGTTCCGACAAAGTGTGTTCCTTACAGCCACAGAAAACAAAGTCAGAAAACAGCAGAGCATGAAAATACATTGCCGACTCCAACCGTGTAGAATAGCAGGCGAAAGGCAACGGCAGCGAAAACAGCTGGCAACACAACAGCAACGAAAACAGCTGGCAATGAAAAAGCAACAAAAACAGCTGGCAGTGAAAAAGCAACGAAAACAGCAACGAAAACAGCAATGAAAACAGTGATGAGCTGCACAAAGACCACACTGTGATCTCACATCATGGATAAAAGTAATGAAGTGCATGATCAGTCCACACACACACCGACACACGTATTCTGTGCTGTAGTGATAAGAAATGATACAAGCGAAACAGCAGTGGACACAAACACATGTTGTGTAACTGCCACAGAAAACAAATGAAGACATCACTGCACACACAGCTATGCAATCATATTGCAGGTCGGTAGTAATGTAGGCTGGCAAGGGAATACCAATGACAAAAAGCTCACTGGGGTCTGGAATGACGGGTAAAAAAGAGGGAAACTGTGGGTAACACAAACAAATTCTGTGCTGTAATGATGAGAAGAATAACAAGCGAAACTGCAGTGGAGTAGTTCACAAACATAATAATTGTGTCATGTAACAATAAAAGTAAAAAACAAGTGACATCGCAATGCACACACGCACACATAATTTTCCATGAGGCAATGATGAAGACTAGCAAGTGAAGCTGCAGTGAAATGCACAAAGCATGTTGTGATCAGAAATGATGGATAAAAACAAGTCGAACTGTTCAACATGCAAACAACCATGACAGTGTGTTCTGTTCCGTTGTAGTACGAAAAGCAAGCCGAACGGGAACGTAAGGGCCAAAACACACATGGACATCATTGATGACGAAGAATAGCAAGTGAAATGGCATAACACACAAGCACTTTGTGCTACAAAAATAGCTAGGCAAATTTTGTAGGCGGCAAGAAATGCACATTCACAAACAAACACACACACTCACACACACACACACACACACACACACACACACACACACACACACACACACACACACACACACACACACACACATATACAAACACACAAACAAACACTCACACACATACCTACATTCATAAAACAACTTAAAAAAGACGAGTGAAGGCCATAGTGAACACAAACACAAATCCATAGTGCTCTTCAATACTGAGGCAAACAAGTGAAGGATTTGTATGCATACATGCATGGCATATGCAAGTGAAGTAGTAAACAACAAATTGCCACAATGGCCAATTTCTAGCCAGCATCACTACGGATTGATAATGGAAGACATCAGACACTGTTCCGACTCTGGCGTCAGTGACCATGACAACGATAACCTGGTTGGAGAGTGTAGTCACCTTTAACCTGTATGTGACAAACAAACAAAATACATGATGTACACATCATTTATACACACACACGTACACAAATACATGTACACACACACACAAACTTGTACACGTGCACACACACACACACACACACACCATGTACCATGTATACGCCCGTCGCAAGAGAAGCACAAAAATCTGCAAATGCACTGGACGTGCACCCACAGATTTTCTCTAAAAGCAACGATAGGGAACAAAATCTGAATGAGACAGATCAAGACTTGCGCCAGATAGCTCTCTAATCCACACAACTGGCGAAGCCAGGTGAATCGACCAGCAATGCACACCTGGTATACACCACATGGAGGACATCTGCATAAAACGGCAAAGACAGTTACCTATGCACATCCTACACCGGCTGGGGTAACTAGTGTAGACAGCATGCTGCTTTGATAGAAGCAGACACTTAGATTCACTGGTACCTTGAAGTGAAAATGGAGTTACTTTACCAACCAGCCTCGGCTACTGAGTACTACCAACCCAGAGCCAACAGACATACCAACAACCTCAGTCATGAAAGATATTATAGTAAGGACACACTGGATTGTGGAGCCGAAACCAGTCCAACTTCCAAATGCTTACACGCATACACACACACACACACACGTACACACATACACACACACCACACACGCACGCACACACACACTCACTCACGCACGCACACATGGACACACATGCACTAAACACACTTCAGTGCATACTTGGTCCATCTAGTTAAAATTGGCGCATATCTTCGCATTTGATAATAAGTTGATTTTTCGGTGTTATGCCTGTGTAATACGGCATGGAAGCACAGATTCACCATCCTAACATAACCATTGTGCATTGCTTCCGACGACATGGCAGCACAAATCATCACAGAAGTTGCGATCGGTTCGTTTGAGTCTTTTCACTGGAGCTGGCGCCAACGAACACTTCCGTCAGCGCAAGAAAACGCTGCAACCTCTGTTCCAGTCCATAAAATAAGTCGGGATGTTCGCATTTCAGAGCGAAGGAGAATACACTTTCTGCTTACTTCCAGCTGTCTGGTGGCGAGAATGGTTGACCGCAGGAAGTGAAAGAAAAGCTGGGAAAGTGCTTCGCGAGCTTGAATTTCAATGCTCGCACATTACAGCGCCCAGTGAAGAGTTATCACCAGCAAATCGCTGACGAAGAAACTACAGCTCATGTAGACATCTCCAGAACATGAGAACAATCCGGCGGACACACTCTGAAGCTCACAGAGGACTGGGAAAAGGAGCTAATCATAATATACACCAAGTCCTGAGGGAAACGCTCGTGCAAAGGACTTTCAGGACACTAGCCGAAAAGACTAGTGCAAGCCCTTAGGACTTAGGAAGTGAGGTGCAGTAGATCTACACACATAAGTGTTACATCCATCAAGCGGAAGCTATCACTGCGCTGCATTGTATGGGAGGGCCTTCAAGCAGCCAAACAATTTTCAAGCAGTTGTCATGTCAACTGGCAGTGGTGATGTAATCAGATAGAAGTGTGCTGATCACTGACCTGATTAGACTCGATCACTCTCCGTCAGCAGACTGTTCATCTGCTCAAGCCGCGCTGTGTATTGTCCATAACGACAGCTGTTCCTGATGGGAGACTTCAACGCAAAACTTGGGAAACGACCACCCAGTGACTGCCACTCTATATCCTATGCTGGTTCACACTCAAGGGGCCATCGCAACTACAGCGGCCAGACTTTGGCTGATTTCGCGTCCAGCAATTACCTATTTGCCTGTAACACGGCGTTTCAGCACCGTGCAGAACATATCACAGGACAGGCTGGCGCCACAACCCTAGTGGAGGTCCACCATTACCCATTTACAACCAAATAGATTATATCCTTTGCCGTCACAGTGAAAGGTTTGTGGTGACGGATGCCAGATCATACGCCGCGACCAGCTTAGAAAGCGATCACCGTCTTGTGCTGGCAAACCTCAACCTGACAAAGTTGTACAAGAAGCTCAAGAGGCCCCCCAGTAGCCATATCCAGCAACGCGAAATTCAATATATCGGAATTTAGTGACCCGACCAAGAAAGCAAAGTACAGAGAGGCTATCAACGAACATCTACAGGACCTCGGCAGAGAGCAGGAAGGTGTGAGTGCGGAGCTACATCTGCAGTCTATTGTGAACGCTATGAGTGAGGCAGCAAACACATCGGTGGGCCTTGTCCCTAAAACGAACAAGACGCATAGAAATGGCTTCAGCGGGGAAATTGAAAAGCTAGCAGCAGAAAAACACAAACTGCGTCTCGACATTATGGTGTGCAGAGATGGAACGAAGGTAAAAGAAATGAAAACACGACGCAACAGGCTGGCACACCAAATTCGTCGGGAATGCCTCAAGTTAGCATCGACTCGAATAGACTAACGTGCAGCTGAAATAGACCAAATGAAAGACGACGCGAAAATGTTCAAAGCAACACGGCTACTGCGCCGACAGCAGCAGTCACCAGTTGTGGTTGAAGACTCTGATGGCAAACTCATTGCACAACCTAGTGAATCAGTCGAAGCATTAAGAGAGCATGTCTGAGAATACCAAAGTATGTGTGCAAGTGGATCTCTCCGATTTCGCTCAAAATTTGCAGGTAGGTTCCCTTTGGGGTGTGGATCGATTGTGCAAAGCCCTTGAAAAGGTTTCTGAGGGGAACCTTGAAATTTGCATACCCCTCAAAAATGGCCGAAATATCACATTATTTATGGGTCTAGAAACGAGTCACGCCACAGCGTATCCGAACAAGCTATGAACAAAACTCCATCAAGCCAACATTGCCTCACCTTAGAAGAGTTCCTGGGGCAGTACCGCTTAGCCACGCCAGGATCCCAGAAGACGAGGTCCATCACCCGCTGACGCCACAACTGATCGTCTTGAAAATAGCCAATTTACAAGCGCTGGCAAAACAGCCAGCTACGTCCTCAATTGGCCAGCACTATACACCGGCAGATAGTAGAACACCTCCTCTAGCGCTGAGGACATGTCCCCCATCTTCCTTTTGGGGTTTTCTTGAAATAAACCTTTTTGAATTTTTCCACTCGACCATGCTGAAATACGGCCAAAGTCATACCTGCGCAGGAAAGCTCGCCCCTCCGCGACGTCCCCTCAGCAATTTCTACTCCAACACTACTCCCAAGGCCGCAGAACAAAGTGTGTTGTTGACTCTGACAAGGAAAAGCAGCGGTGATCACTTGTCACTCCAAGCGACAAGCTTCTCCTTGCGCCACCAATAATTTTTTTGTGCGACTGTTGATGCAAAAGTGACTGAAGTCCTGAGCGCAGTTTTTGAATTTTATTGCAAGATACACGGTGAAATCACGTGCCTTGTGACGCAAGAATGCCAAGTCGCGTGGATCACGGCTCACGAGATTTCAGAGTCACCTTCGTAAAGTGCGCTTGTTACTCGCCTTGAACGCCCGTCGGTCTGGAAGTGATCACACTTGTGTTGTTACCAGTGTGGTAACTGCGCACAAGAACACGCTGACCGTGTTGTAGGCCTACGAACCGGGACTTTCCCTTACCATGTAGGTCGAAGACCAGTGAAATGATGATGAAATCACATTCTTTATGACGTAAGAAATCTGTCATGCAGTTCACGCGACAAGTGCGTGCAGCCAGCGCTGCTCGCGTGCCAGTGAACACAAAGGGACCGAGCTAGCAGCTTTCGTCGAGCATCGACATGAAAACCAGGGACTTTTACTGTTGGACTATGTTCGGGATTGCAGGAGGTAAGTGTGAAAGATGATTAACTCTCCATGCTGTATGAGGGGTATATTTCAACGGCTTGCTGCCATTGCAACACTCCTAGGACAGTTTGTGGGGGTTCTCAGCTGATCAAGCAGGAAATGCAGCTCATCTTACCTCTACCATCATGGTCTGTTCCGAGTAGCGTTCCAGACACGTTCACGATCGATGGGCGCGTGTCGTGATCCAGGAAACGTCATCCTACGTCACAGAGCACGCGATCTCACCGTACATCTTGCAATAAAATTCAAAACTGCGCTCAGGACTTCAGTCACTTTTGCATCAACAGTCGCACAAAAAATTATTGGTGGCGCAAGGAGCTTGTCGTTTGGAGTGACAAGTGATCACCGCTGCCTTTCCTTGTCAGAGTCAACAATACACTTTGTTCTGCGGCCTTGGGAGTAGTGTTGGAGTAGAAATTGCTGAGGAGACGTCGCGGAGGGGCGAGCTTTCCTGCGCAGGCATGACTTTGGCCGTATTTCAGCATGGTCGAGTGGAAAAATTCAAAAAAGTTTATTTCAAGAAAACCCCAAAAGGAAGATGGGGGACATGTCCTCAGCGCTAGAAGAGGTGTTCTACTATCTGCCGGTGTATAGTGCTGGCCAATTGAGGACGTAGCTGGCTGTTTTGCCAGAGCTTGTAAATTGGCTATTTTCAAGACGATCATTTGTGGCGTCAGCGGGTGATGGACCTCGTCTTCTGGGATCCTGGCGTGGCTAAGCGGTACTGCTCCAGGAACTCTTCTAAGGTGAGGCAATGTTGGCTTGATGGAGTTTTGTTCATAGCTTGTTCGGATACGCTGTGGCGTGACTCGTTTCTAGACCCATAAATAATGTGATATTTCGGCCATCTTTGAGGGGTATGCAAATTTCAAGGTTCCCTTCAGAAACGTTTTCAAGGGCTTTGCACAATCGATCCACACCCCAAAGGGAACCTACCTACAAAGTTTGAGCGAAATCGGAGAGATCCACTTGCACACATACTTTGGTATTCTCAGACATGCTCTCTTAAGGCAGCATTTCCGTGCTATATTCTATGATCCTGCTCTGGAGTCATCAAGGGTCTTACGGACAGAGGAAAACCTTAAAAGCCCTATAAAGCAGACAGAGGTACATGCCGCAGCTTGAATAAGCGCTTGAATAATGGCCGACCTTCGGGACCAGATGGGATACCTGCTGACCTTATCAAATATGGAACACCAGCACTGTTCTCGTACATTGCCACTACATTCAACAGTTATGCCAAAGACAAATCACTCAAGCTAGGCGATGGGCTACTGATCCCGATACCAAAGCAGGGAAAGAAAAGAGGTCCTCCTGGAAATGTAAGACCAGTTACCCTGTTGAACACCCTAAGGAAACTTCTTTCATTGGTCATCCTGACGCGGATCAAGCCAGCTATCAACGGGTACTTGTCACTGAACCAGAGCGGGTTCCGGTCAGGGAGTACTGGAGACGTGGTATATAGCTATCGGTGGTTATCAGCAAGATGTCAACGGGTTGCGTCGGAGATCTCAATCTTAGGCATTGATATGTCAAATGCATTTAACACTATATATAGGGTCAGGCTGATCGATATACTGTCATCAGTCATTGATCATGATGAGCTGCACATCATCCGGTGCCTTCTGAAAGACACCACAATAAAAGTAAAGCTGAATAACATTCTCAGCCAACCATTAGTCACACATAATGGAACCCCACAAGGTGATTCTCTATTGCCAGTCCTGTTTACTGTCTACCTCGAGGCTGCATTGAGGTTGATTCGAGAGCGACTCTCACTGCGACCAGCATTGGATATTCAGCTTCAATTGCCCAATGAAACAGCGTATGCGAATGACGTAGACTTCATCAGCACCAGCCTACAATATTTGCACCACAATCAACCCATACTATCATCCTCGTTAGTGGAATACAATTTAAAAATGAATGAAGCCAAAACCGAATATACTACAATTAAAAGAGAAAAGGACAGAGTAGACGAGCGATGGCGGAACACGGTCAAACTAGGATCGATGCTTGGAGTGGAGGAAGATATCAGTCGGAGAAAACGTCTAGCAACATGTGCCTTACATGAGCTGTGGGTGATATGGCTAAGTGGTAACCATGCCCGTGAACCCCTTCGGATTAGGTTATACAGCTGCTTTATTCTCCCAATACTTCTTCATAACTGCGGAACATGGAGCCTGGCAGAGACTCAAGAAAAGAAACTTGACTCGTTCCACCGCCAGCAGTTACGAGCAGTCATAGGGGTCAAATATCCCCGTATAATACGCAATGAAGCACTGTACAAGCCCACTGGCTCCAAGGAACTCAGAAGAATCATCCAGTCTGCTAGGTGGAGAATGCTTGGCCACATGCTTCGACTAGACACCTCATCCCCGGTCCAGCAGGCTATGTCAGCATACTTTCAACCAGGAAGCTCAGGGTTCCGAGGCCACCCGAGAACAACCCTTCCGCGATCTATCAACGACCTGAAAAATTCCAGATCCACAAACTCCCTCCCATCACACGAGGATCTAGTAGCACTGAGGCAGCTCGCCAGAATCGTCGAAAGTGGAAGGAACTAATGTATGCTATGTGTAGTGGCTTAAGTTATACAATTACACTAGATACTCTTAACAATAATAACGGACACAATTACACTAGATACCCTTAACACACTAGATACTCTAGATACTAGATACTCTAGATACTCTGAACAATTTTATCAACTATTATGATAATTACCACATCAAAATTTTGATGATGGTCAGCATTTAATGCTGCGGAGACCTATCCAGAATCGCCAATATGCTGGCCCTGGCCTGAAGATCTGCAACTACAATCAGCTTCTACTTTGCAACATTAACGGATTAGTCCCCTTTTGTCGATTGATGGATCAATCAGTAGATTCGGCTCTGTTTTTCTTTCCTTTCTTTGTTGGTTTGAATTGTATGTTGAACTCATTGGATTTCTTTGTATTCTGTATCTCGTTATCGATATATTTTCTTCTAGCCCTCTCGCTTAGGATGAGCATTCTTTTTTATGGCAGCTTAAGCGAAGGCTATATACCTGCTTTATGCAGGGTGATGCCAACGCGAACAAGCAAAATAATAATAATTATGCGGAACCCACAACTTTAAAATGCATTTTCTCAGTACTGGGTGAAACGACATAAGCGTGGATCTTCCCAAGTTGTACATTGTACTGTTGAGATACCCAATTAACCCTTTGTCTACGGACTGTACAACTTTCGATCCCCTGGGATCGAAACTTTTCTAAATTTTAATCGATCAGAACTCAGTCATTCCTGGCTTATTTCCAAAATCTAAAATATGTACGTCGAAGAGAAAATTCTCAGCTGTCCATTAAACTCCACCAAAGTTGAACACATTGCAGTAAAGGTATAGCAACAACTTACCTGTGTGGGACAACATGGAGAGCATTGCCTTGCTCTTGTCCACATACCCAAGTTCCTCAATGACAACACAGAGATCATGATACGTTTTTAGGCCACCAGCTCTGAGCAACTGGATGAGCTCCTCATTATGATAAGATAGTCCATCCCGAGACTGAATTCTCTTTAGTCTCTCTATTGATGCGCTGTCAGTTATGAGATGTTTCTCGACCACCATCCGTCGCAGTCGATCTGCGTCAACTTTGTTCAACCATGGTTGAATGTCACACACAAACCTTTCCAGGTCAAACGGATTGTCTGTTGCGAAAGCAGCAAAATACAGAAGGCAAAGATGACACATGAACACACAACTACACACAACTACATGTCCAGAAACAAAAAAAATGGAATTGCATAACACTGATAATACATGGAAAGGAATTTGAGTGGACACACCCATTCCAAGAGCGCTGCACATCCGAACAAGTTCCGTTATTTTACGTTTCGGCACTTGGCTATCATCAGGTGATAAGAACAATGGACACACACACACACACACACACACTCACACACACACACACACACACACACACACACACACACACGCACACGCACACACACATTCCTAGAACCGCACTTCGGAGCGATACAGCGATTGTTTCAATGGACAGCTGGGAGTTATCTCTTCGACCTACATATCTTAGTTTTTGAAAATAACTGAGTTACGATCGATTGAAATCTTGAAAAGTTTCGATCCCAGGGGATCTAAAGTTGTACAGTCCGTACACAAAGGGTTAAAATAAACCAATACAATACAAAAATACAAAAATAGAAAAAACCCTCTTTTCCGATCTAGAGGCTCAAGTTGTGTTGCAAGATAGTGTGAAGTAGACATTTGCACACAAGTAAACTAACACTAGCATACAAGGAGCACACATGGTGTATTGAGCACATTCAACTTTACCAGCATCATCTTGCCGAGCAGCAGTGGACTGACTGGCTTGATCAGAGTGTGACTGGCTGCCAGGAGGAACGCTCTCTGCCGAGTCTGATTGAACAGTAGAGGAAGTGAATTTAAAAAATATCCATGTCTCGGTGCGGAAATATTCGATTATAGGAATGTGTATTAAATCCTAAAGATCAGCATAACACACATACCTAACCAGTCATGTGTTTATTATCCACAGGGAAAATAATTCATTTTTTCGTATAGAATCCCATGCAAACTGAAGTTCTCTTTGAGACCTGAGCAAGCCCATAGATCAAATTGTGTTGCAAGATAGTGTGAAGTAGACATTTGCACACAAGTAAGTAAACTAGCAGTAGCATACAGAGAGCGCACATGGTGTATTGAGAACATTCAACTTTAAATAAGCGACGAGGAGATAATAGCTTTCCATGATGAGTGTGTCATGAAAAATGATCAGGAAATTTTGCATTTAGATTCATTATAATTATTATTCTCTTCTTTTTGTTTCGTAACGTCCGCCTTGCTAATACTGTTCTGGACTTGTTTTATCGGTTGAACGCGACCTTCTCGACATCAAGTTTTAAGTTGTGCATTCGCCTCACAATGCATGCTGCCAGAACACTCTGATTGACTTTTCTATGAATGAAGCCACAGTTTTCACATCTGACAATAACGAGATTGCTGCAATACTCCTACACCTAGGTACCTGGCGTGGAATTTCCATTCACGGTGCTTGCAATGCTTTTCTTTACCAAGCACATTTCAAGACAAGATGATACAGTTTGTTTTACATCACCAGGCATACGCATATGGGATAGGTGTGCAATGAGATGAGTAATCTTTCCGCTCATGATTAGTCACACACGTTAAATCCACACACTTGTGATAAGTCACACACCATTGACTCATGCACTCAGCATAAGTCAAGCACTTTCAAAAGAAGGACATTACATTTCTCGACAGGCAAGCGCAGCAACAAAAAAAAAAAAAAAAAAAAAAAAAAAAGCTGAACAAACGAGTCACGTTGGTCATACATGAATATGTACGCAGAACTAACGTAAGTCGTTGTTACTTCACTACCGACTGGCATGTTCTTGCATGAATCGGAGAGCGACGTGTTCTTGACAGAATCATGTTCAAGTTTGTTAGGACAGATCGTGGACAAGTACTGGTGCATGTGGCACGGGACGCGACGACCTTGGTGAACACACTCGAGCCAATCACCTTAAAGAGCACGCTCGTGCTTTACGTGAACCAATCATCTTCCCTGTTTCGATGAGAAGATTTGACCAATCTGTGAGCATCATTTTTGGGAGTCGGTTAATAGACAGCAATCTAAGAGATTCAGCCCTCCCATATTTTCTTTCCCGGCAGCGCTCCGGAGCTGTTGCGTGCCCTAGAAAGGTTCTACGCCAAGGTCCATAAGCAGAACATTTCTGAGTACAAACGAAATTCCTTGCTTGCCGCTCGATCCGCAATCCATCGACATGCCGAGCGTACAAACCTTGTTTGCTCGCTGGCTGATGACTTGTCACCACCTGGTCACATGCCGATTTCATTTGTACTCAGAAAAGTCCTGTTTACAGAAGTTAGCGTAGATATGTTCTACGGCACTCGCCATCTCCGGTGCGCTGACTGAAGAGAAATCAAGCGCAGCACCGAGTACTGCTCTCTTTACAGTAAGTATCGAAAAGTGGTGAATATAAGCGGTGAATATCTAGCAATATCCACTACGCCTGTAGATGGCCAATTGCATGAGGGTGAATATGGAATGAAGTAAAAGCCAGTGTATATAGAGCAAGAAGGTAGACAAGAAGGTATGTATTTTTGTGTGTTTTCGTGTATGTATTATAGCATACAGACAGACTAAGACAACAATGGTAACAACACACAAATTGAAGGGCAGTTGAGTGCAACTAGATGAGAACAGTATAAAGAGAGCAGTCTTATGTTAAAAGGAATAACGCACCTGTTTCTTCAGAGAGCTCCGCTTCATCCTCCTGATACAGGTTTGCAATGCGCTCGTCCGTTGACCACATGGCATGGCTGAAGATACACATGCACACACACACACACACACACACACACACACACACACACACACACACACACACACACACACACACACACACACACACACACACACACACACACACAAACACACACACACACACATTCAAAATGAACAAACATGGAACATACTAACTATTTGATGACATACATCGATACTTGCACACACATGTAGATGCCCATATTGCTGGCCGCACTCCTGAGCGCATTCCTGCTCACACTCTTGCCAACTCCTGCCCACACTCATGTATGCACACTTTGCCCACACTCCCCTGCCCACACTCCCCCCCCCCCCTGCCCACACTTCTATGCCCACACTCCCCTGCCCACACTTCTCTACCCAATCTTCTCTACCCACACTCCCTTGCTCACATTCGCCTGCCCACATTTCTCTGCCCACACTCCCCTGCCCACACTTCTCTGCCCACACTCTCTGCCCACACTCCCCTGCCCACACTTCTCTACCCACTCTTCTCTACCATGGCTCCGGGTTCACGGATGTGTGTTTACTGGCTGACATTATGCCATCCTTGGTTAGTGCACCCACACAGTCACTGGCCACAGTGTGAGCGGACCTAGCTTCCCCAGGAGACCCCCTTTCAGAAGAACAGTGTACACTCTGCCCACACTCCCCTGCCCACACTCCCATGCTCACACTCCCCTGCCCACACTCCCCTGCCCTCACTCCCATGCCCACACTCCCCTGCCCACACTCCCCTGCCCACACTTCCCTGCCCATACTTCTCTGCGCGCATTCCTGATCAAACTCCTGCCCACACTCTCCTGCCCACCCTTCTCTGCCCACACTCCCTGCCCTCTTTTCTCTGCCCACACTTCTCTGCCCACACTCCCTGCCCATACTCCCCTGCCCACACGTCTCTGCGCGTATTCCTGATCACACTCCTACCCACACTCCTGCCCACCCTCCTGCCAGCCTTTATGAACATGCTCATACTCCTCCCCTCACTTCTCTGCTCGCATTCTTGATCACACTCCTGCCAGCCTTTATGAACATGCTCATACTCCTCCCCTCACTTCTCTGCTCGCATTCTTCATCACACTCCTGCCAGCCTTTCTGAATACGCTCATACTCCTCCCCTCACTTCTCTGCTCGCATTCTTGATCACACTCCTGCCCACACGCCTGCCACCACTCCTTCCCACAAGCGCGCGAAGGACTAAAGGGACCGTCACTTAATTTTTGCCGACTACCCGCCAAAAAATCTTTTCGTTTCACGTGTCAGACACGTCCGCGTGCGCCTACGATCACGATTAGCGACTACGTAGTCGACTCGCTACCTTTCACGTCAAGCAATCTGTTCACGCCACATGGCTGGATATCGATACTAGTTCGTCCACCAACAATTGAAATTAATGTTTCTCACTTGAACACTCTGTAGAGCTGCCGCTGTCGTGACAAGGCCGTGTATACTCCAAATCTACATGTAGGATGAAGAGTAACAGTTAATACTGTTGATAATGCTGATAATGAAGTTTGCTCCACAATCGCTCAGAATGCTAATGTGTGTCCATGGAGTACTAAAACGCCCAACGTGGATGAGACGGACAACAGCAGCGGCTAGAGCGTTCTCCTTCCTCGGTGAACACTGCTACAAGACACTATGCTTGATGATTCACCAAACACCAAGTCACCATCGTTGGGGGCCAATTCAGTAGTTTTCCGGCACCAGCGAGTTGTTCGTCCAGCAACTAACTTTGAGTCTTTCTTCAACACTTCGTAGAGCAGCCGCGCAAGGCATTTCCTTCACGTTAGGGTAGCGATCCTTCCTAGATGCTATCGCCATTCATTGTTACTTTTTACTACTGTACAATGACACTCCAGTAGTGTTTCTCCGAAAATAAAATCAACTGCCATTACTGAGTAAAGAGTCGGTACTCTCACAACAGACTCAGTAGCAGCTCGGCCTAGCGCCTAGCTGGACTTGTAAAAATTAATAATTATTTTGCAATTCTTCAATCATATATTGTTTGCTTGTACGCGCTATCGATATCCAGCCACGTGGCGTGAACAGATTGCTTGACGTGAAAGGTAGCGAGTCGACTACGTAGTCGCTAGTCGTGATCGTAGGCGCACACGGACATGTCTGACACGTGAAACGAAAAGATTTTTTTGGCGGGTAGTCGGCAAAAATTAAGTGACGGTCCCTTTAGTCCTTTGCAGCGCCACTCCCTCCCACGCTGCTCAGTCCTGCCCCCACTCCTCACTACTACCTACACTACTGCCTACACTACTGCCTACACTACTGCCTACACTACTGCCTACACTACTGCCTACACTTCTGCCTACACTACTGCCTACACTACTGCCTACACTACTGCCTACACTACTGCCTACACTACTGCCTGCACTACTGCCTACACTACTGCCTACACTACTGCCTACACTACTGCCTGCACTACTGCCCACACTACTGCCTGCACTACTGCCTACACTACTGCCTACACTACTGCCTACACTACTGCCTACACTACTGCCTGCACTACTGCCTACACTACTGCCTACACTACTGCCTACACTACTGCCTACACTACTGCCTACACTACTGCCTACACTTCTGCCTGCACTACTGCCTGCACCACTGCCTACACTTCTGCACGCAGTTCTCTTTACACATTTTACCCAGGCGCGTAGCACCGCCGTTGGCGGTGGTCCGGCCAGGGGGGGGGGATCTCCCCACGGAAATATTTTGAAATTAGGGTGCAAAATCCTGCATTCTGGGCACTTTTGGCATTGTTTTACTATTTCCAAGAAAACAACTATGGACAGTATTTAAAGCCTGTTATCTCATCCACCATTGAATAGGTGTACAAAAACTCTCAGCAAAACTAGCGAGGAAAAGAAATGCAGGCAAGAAATAATAATATGTGACAGATGGCGTACAATATGCATTGAAACAATAAGTATAATAATTATTACTGTGCATGGTCCCGTTGCTGTGTACGAAAGCCAAAGCCGGGGAAATAAGACAAGAAGAGCAATCACAGGCAAACTGCTAGCTGGGTTACTTAGCTGCAAGATCAGCATCCGTAAATGTGCCAAATATTGAGCGGCGGTGATCACTGCTGGTGACATCGACAAAGGCATTGCCCAACTACACCACAGACAGTGCATCTGTCCTGTTCTTGTGCATCTGGAGGAGCATGACTGAATTTAACCGACTCTGGCCCATTGTGGAGCGGAGATAGGTCTTGATTCTCCGCATTGCTGAGAAGGATCTCTCGCGGATGGCGTTGGTAGCTGGGCTTACCAGAATCAAGCGCACTCAGCTTCACAACTTCAGACAGAAGCTGCCTCTGAGAGGTGGAGTAGCCCCGCAAGAACTTCAGCACAGACCTAAACGTGACATCGTCATCAGAGGACAGCTGCGTCTGAAGGAGGGAAAAGTGGGTCAGAAGGAGGTTGGAGTCGAGATCCTCGCCGTACAACTCTGTCACTGCCTTGAACTCGTCTGCAGCGTCAACCCCTTTGGCACTCTTCAAGAGAAGGTTCTCCAACTGCGTGTATATGGCGAAGCCCTTCTGATTAAACCGGGTCTGGATGGAGGACTTGGCACTGTCAAGCACTTCATAATACAGCTGCCGATAGCGGCCTTCCGGGGAGCTGGGGTGGTATGCTGGCTCATCTCCACCTTCATACCTCTGTGGACGTTTGCGTTTGCGAGGGAACTGCGGTTCAGAGACATCAAACTGGTGACTTTTTGCCACAGTAGCCTCCCAGAACATTGAGAATGAATTCTCTGTGCGCATCTTTGTGATTGTGTTCACCGTCAAACGTGCCATTTTCTGGGCTTCGGCAGCAGACATTGTTGAACTCTGGAGGGAAACAGAGAGGTTGTTACCATGTGCCAGGACAAGACGGGCCAAACTGATTCCAAAGAAGAAGTTGAAAGTCTCCATTTGAGCTTTCACTCCGATTACCCGAGCACGCACGTCGGGGTCCACACTCCCAGCCAGAACTTCATCCCACAGTTCTTGCAAGACCAGATAGTTATCCAGGATGCTTTGCAGACTCTTGCCACCCACTGTCCAGCGGGTCGGGCACAGCACACGGAATCCTGGTGTGTTGGGCGAGATCTCACCCTTCAGGACGTCAAATCGGGCATTCCGTTTTTGCGAGTACTTAATTAACTTGCTGATCTCGCTGGTGACATCGATGGAATCTCTGGTCAGCACAGTCGTCTTGATGGTGTCGCACATTGCCAGGTTCAGAGAGTGCCTGTAGCAGTGCACAAAAAGAGCCCTTGGCTCTTCATCTCCCAACTGCTTCGCGACACCAGATCTGTGGCCAGCCATATTTGAGGCACCGTCGTAGCATTGGCCTTGGCAACGGTTGAGTTGAAGGTTGAGTCGCAGCATGCAGTCCCGGATAGCCGCAACGATCGTATCTGCAGATATGTTGTCAATCTGGCACAAACCAACGAAATCTTCATGAGCTTCCAACTCCTGGTCAACCCACGGGAAGCACAACACCAGCTGTTCCTTGTTAGATACGTCTGCGCACTCATCGGCCATTACGCTGAACACCTCAGCAGTATGGATGGAATTGGCCACATTCCGGAGTATGCTATGCGACATTAGCTGAAGGATTTCGTTCTGGATTTCGGGAGAGCAGTACTTATCCACTCGTCGCTCCAGCCAAGCACGCAACTCGGGAGTATGTAGCTTCTGTAGTTGCAGCAGTTGCATAAAGTTCGACTCTGCATCGCCGTGGCAACGCAAGGGAAGACCTTGGCAACCCAAAAACTTCATGTTCTGTAGGATGCTGGCGAACATTCGCTGATTGAGGGCTTTCTCCTTGGCATGGGCTTGACTTAGCGCCTCACCAACGTCCGCGACAGTCTGCGGTAGCACAAGCATCACCTGGACAGCGTCGATATGACACAGCGACTTTTCGTGCCGGCGGAACCCCTCCGTGGCATCTTTGCTGATCAGCAAAGGAGCACAAATGGCAGGTCACAGAATCCGTCGACTCGTTGTAATGCAATCAGTTGAATTTATCGAACCAAGCTGGTTGAAACGGACTCTCAACGATCGATGTTCGCCCGAAACTTCGCTTTGGAAAAGCAAAGTTCCGAGGCTGATGAGCCTCCATGGTGTCCACACAAGCAGCAATCAGAGAGGAAAAAGACACACAACTATGATAATTCTTTGGAAAAAGTGGAACACAAAAAGCAGCGGATCAGCGAAGGCGTGCAAGCGAAAAGCGTCCGGGGATGCGCATCACACAGTGTACATGGTTGTAGGCCATACCGGTAGCCCTATATGCACGTACACTCGCATGTGTTACGCGTGAGGCTCCCTGGTGCAAGCCAGGAAGTCGTACGACCCCCTACGACTCCCTGGTGTAGACCATGCAGCCTTGCAGGGCCTTCAAAAAAACGTGGTCGGGCGAAAAAGTGGTCATGTCATTAAGCAAGCAGTGTAGGGAAATTATTGCCACTGCCTACTGACCAGTACTTTGGCCGAGTGGTTGTGGGCTTGCCTGCAAATCGCAAGGGTCTGAGTTCAAGACCAGTGCTGACACCAGTGAGCGTGTACTTTGTTAACAAATGCTGTGATGCAAGCGTGAAGCACTTTACATGCAGTTAACTGCTCTGACATCCACTGTCAACTGTGTACTCACTACACTGTATTCGTAGTGAGGGTAACATAGATGCAGCTAACGAGGTTTGCACCTTGTCAGGCATTGCTTGTGATACTAAGTTACCCTCGCTGTCACGTGCTACATCTGCCACCCTGGTATCTCAGGCATGGTGGTGGCCTTGTACAAGCAAAACTTCCTAAACTGGTTGTGTTTCTCAACACAATTGCATAGCCGGTTTGGTTGTGTATCTGCGATCTTTACTTTCTTCTGCTTATGTACTTCAAATAGGGAAGGGTGTTTTAAATAGGATCTGGGAACTACACAGCTCAATAAGACCTTTCTGCTTTCTAGGGATGACGACACTGCCACATGAAAATACCACATGAAAAGACTACATGAAAAGAGCACATGCAAAGGCGTCAGATGCCGCTTTTTTACGGATGGAGAGGAAAATTCAGATCCACCAATTTCAGTATTTTGGCAAAGGTGAAAACCCACTTTCTGCATCAATGTTGCTCTGTTTTCCAGACCTCGTGTTCCCAACTCACTGTGGTGTACAGCACAGCTGAAGCAATCCTCTTCAAGTCAGGACTTGATCATGATACTTATACCTGTCATTGCACAATCACGGTCTGAGATCTCACTCAATGGGCCGGCCTGACTCATTATGTTGGAAATGGTGCAGTACATTTCACTGAACTTTACACAGGACTGATTCAACGGTTCTATACTTCATTGTAGAGCAATTCATGAGTAGAACTTACAGTGGTGAAGTGGATAGGAAAACACCACAGCTTCCATCAGCAGCGTGATGCTCAGCATGGCCTGATACATTCAACAGGAAAAAACAGAAAACAGATTTTAAAACTATCCCTTTCTCTGTGCAGAAGTATTCGATTATAGGAATGAGTATCAAATCATCAAGGTTAGCATAACACACATACCTAACCAGTCATGTGTGCATTATCCACAGACAAAATATTCTCTTTTTTCGTATAGAATCCCATGCAAATAGAAGTTCTCTTTGAGACCTGAGCAAGCCCATAGATCAAGTTGTGTTGCAAGATAGTGTGAAGTAGACATTTGCACTCAAGTAAACTTCAGCATACAAGGAGCACACATGGTGTTTTGAGCACATTCAACTTTACCAGCATCATCTTGGCGAGCGGCAGTGGACTGACTGGCTTGATCAGAGTGTGACTGGCTACCAGAAGGAATGCTCTCTGCCGAGTCTGATTGAACAGCGGAGGAAGTAGCTCCGGCGGAGACTGGCTGGACGGCTTGCACCCGACGCTTCCGGAATATGTCCGGGAAATCGGTGGCCAGCTGCAGTGTGGAGAGTAACAAATATACAAACAAGCAACAAACATGGCTCTGATATCAACATCAGCTAGTGTCAATATCATCCACACCACTGAGAGTCAAATGAACGAGAGGTACACGGCCGAGAATACATTGTGCATTGCGTAATGGTAGGTGACAGATGTTTTGTTGAGTAAAATGTTAGAACAACTTGCATACATCAACAGAGAGACATAGGCAGAGAGGGGGGGGGAGAGAAGTGGAGAGAGACTGAGAGAGAGAGAGAGAGAGAGAGAGAGAGAGAGAGAGAGAGAGCGAGAGAGAGAGAGAGAGAGAGAGAGAGAGACAGAGAAAGAGAGCGAGAGAGAGCGAGAGAGAAAGAGAAAGAGAAAGAGAAAGAGAGAGAGAGAGAGAGAGAGAGAGTAAGAGAGAGAGAGAGAGAGAGCGAGAGAGAGAGCGAGAGAGAAAGAGAAAGAGAAAGAGAGAGAGAGAGAGAGAGAGAGAGAGAGAGAGGGAGAGAGAGAAAGAAAGAGAGCGAGAGCGAGAGAGGTAGAGAGAGAGAGAGAGAGAGAGAGAGAGAGAGAGAGAGAGAGAGAGAGAGAGAGAGAGAGAGAGAGAGAGAGAGAGAGAGAGAGAGAGAGAGAGAGAGAGAGAGAGAAAGAGAGAGAGAGGGAGAGAGAGCGAGACTGAGAGAGAGGGGCATACGCAACAGGCCATCACACTCACCAGTTCTTCATGCTGCCGTAGCACCTTGCAGATCTTTGCAAAGCGCTTGGCGTTCGGTGATTTCACTAGCAACTGGTGAAGCTTGGTGGAGGTGTGATGGTAGTCGGTAACTGCCCAGCTGTGGACCAATGCTGCTGCAGCGTGTAGATGATTACTGTGCACACGTGATGAAGATGGTGATGTAAGGCCCAGGCAGGTGGCTAGTGCAGGCAGGTCGGACTCACCAAGGCTTTCTCGGATGGACTCGAAGGACTGTGCAGAGAGCAGTGAAGCATGGTTGACCGGCCATTCGAGAAGAAGCGGGGCACGATCAACGTAACGTTGGCTAGTGGAGAGATGAACCTTTGTTGCTACGGATGATCGGACTTCCTCTGCATCGTACACAGCGAAATCAAACTTGTCGCTTGGCTCGTGGAGGTGCTGACGAATCGATTCAGAGCTGATGATGCTTGTGGAGTAGGTAGTGCCCGGGCTATACTGTGCTGCGAGGTCACCAAACACCTTGCGCAACAGAGCCAGCAGACAATAGCCATCTAGCGAATCTTCAACGGGAGCATGGACAACAGCGACAGCTTGGCGCAGGCTGTCCGTGACGGAGATGCAACCACGGGCTGTAGAATGGACTGGAGCCACTACCACCAGATTCTTCCAGAGCTCAGCAGGAATGCCGTGAAGCTCGTGGAAATAGGCATACAGCTCTGTCTGCAGCCTGATAACTAGAGCAGTGGAGAAGCAGTGCTGAGTCGTGAAAGAGACTCCTGCGCACGCCGACTGAGATGATGAATTTTTCTTGGCCAGTGAGCCGAGGCAGTTGTCTGCGGTCGGAAGACGGCTGGGTGCCAGGATCCTTTCTTTCTCCTGCAGCAACACACCTAGTTGTATCACCATCTGCAGCAGCAGAGGGCCCTGACCTTCTGCTCCCTCGCAGCTGTTAAGCTTGCCAAGGACTTCCTGGACCTTCGCAACACCATCTATGAAGTGCAGCATATCTTCGTCATCAAGCCCAGGTGGTGCGAAGATGAGACCAATGACCTTGGAGAGCAGCCAGTTGGGTCGGTTAACAATGATGTCGTCCAGCTCAGGGGATGAGAAAGAAACAATCTAGAAACAAAAACACGATATGCAAACCCATACACACAGCAACACACATAGTTGTAAGCCAATGCACTGTACATGCCCAAATATGGATGCAAACACATTCCACACGCATGCGCAGACAGAAGGATAGTAAAAAGGCCAAATACCTCCAAAATAAAACATAACAAAGCAAGTCAACCAGCCAATCCTCGACGTGTCATGACAGCACACTTTGCCTGACCCCACATTGAGAGACAATGCGAAACTGTTAAATGAACCATCCTAAGTTTTAAAGAAATGGATGTAAGGGACACGGGTAGAGATGCCCTGGCTTGAGTTGCGCGGAAATCAGTGACGTATCCTCTCATGGACACAAATACTACCCTCTGGTGCCAGCCAAAGCAGGACTATGCAGCACATCCTAATAGAAACTCACTGTTGAAGATCAATCCATCAAAGGTGTAAAGCACAATGCACCCGTTGTCAATCATTTCTTTATCAGCCTAAAGCCAGCAATCTGTAGGTGATATCCCCTGCTGTCAAGCCCCAGCTAGCCATACTGTGCACAGCAACACACTAAACCTGTCCCACAATTTTCACATCACCTTGAAGTTTCCAGCAGCCTTACACTTACTAGTATCGGTGTATAGCTGGTCTACCACTGAATAATAGATCATAAACTACAGCTAATGGCAGGATGGGCATCGTAATGTTCTAGATATGGGCTTTAAAAGAAGTAGGAACAAATCAAACCGGTTGCATCTTTCCCTCAAACCAACGAATAAGAACAAATCTAGTTTAGGGGTGGTTGCAAACGTTTTTTTGTTGTTCCTGAGACGAGCATCATTCGTTGGAGGGGTTGGAGGGGGGGGGGCAAAAATCGCAAGTCGACCTACACTAGGGTCAATTCATCGGAAACCGTCCCGCTGGCTTTTGAAAGTTCGATCTGGGCCGAATTGAGGATCAAAACCCACTTTAAATCTCAAGAATCTCGTTCTTGGTTTGGGATTTGCTCTCCACATATTTTGCAATGGCATACCTGTCCAAATTTTGTAAACCTGGTTGAATTTCTATTTATGGTTACGAGTTAAGACACTTTCTGATTGTATAAAGTATCCTGTTACAGTGATGGAGAGTTACTCTCGTATCCATAATGTCTTTTTCCTTTCTACATTTATTTATGGCTCAACATCCGAGTTTCAAATTGCATACCTGATCAGCCGTCAAGAACCGTACGGCGAAACGTACGTCGTATGAAACAACTTGTTTTGTAGTCAACTAGTCCATCACAATGTCATGCATGAGGAGTACTGTAGGAGTTTGGCTTTCGGCTTGTACAATTCGTTTTCGCAAAGCTTCCCATTTCTTTACTTATCTTTGATATTTATGACCCACCCAAGTTGGGTGGTGTGCTGCTTTGCGGCTTCGAATTGTAGTTAGACCGCTTTGTCAAATATCGTACTGGTCTCGTCATCGTCCAGTAACAATCGACATTCTTTGTTCCGTTGGGACTGTAGCTTTTGCTCGTTTTCATTCCGCTTGCCTTCCCCTCTTTGGTCTTTTCGTAACCTTGAACCTTCCAAGTTGGAAGGCTGTAGGTTAGCGCTACGGAGATGTGTTGAAGCTAGGTGTCAGGACGTCGAATGTCTCAGTACTCTGTCAGTTTTGTGCCTAGTTATTGCACTTTCTGACTGTATGAAGTATCATGTTACAGTGATGGAGAGTTACTCTTAACTCGTATCTATAATGTCTTTTCCTTTCTACTTTTATTTATGGCTCAACATCCGAGTTTCTAATTTATATTTCCCTGTTCTTGGGCTTTTCTGCCCTCAAATGTGGCAAGAAGTTATTGCACGGGTCACACGATGCAGGATGTACTGTTTTCCTGATATCTACAACTATGTGTGGGAGACACTATAGTCCATTTCAAAAAGATTAGCAATCAGGTTTTGGTCTTAAAAAGTATGAAGATAAGGGAAAATTGGACAACAAAGTACATAGAATGGCTTGTTAGGACACGGCAAATTGTTCTGTGAAGGTTTCGGAACAATTGGACCAGCCGTTTAGGAGTTAGAATTTCGGCCAGGTTTCCGGCCATTTCCCATGGTTTACAATTTGCCGTGGATGTCAGTATCGATTTTTTTTATCAAAACCCACGATTTATCCTTTCCTTTTTGGCCTTGTGGTTATGAATGCTGTCTGCTGACCATGAAGTTGTGAGTTCAAATCCCAAACTATCTTCAAGTCAAACTTTTTTTCATTGTTTTGGTGATCACGCTGGTACAAAAAGTACAAGCCAAAGAAGGTGGCTGCGCCTAAAGGCAAACGACTTGTTGTTGTTGGAACACGCGTTTCCTGCCGAACTTACTGACACTTGACTGGTTCACGCCATGTGAACACACCCACAACACTGAAACAGTGTGAGTGAACACGGAAGTCATTGCGCTGTAGCTATGTGTTGTTGAATATAACAGCACATCGATCGATCGATTTCTCTTTGAGAATTGTTTTAGTATTTCAAGATCGCCAATTTATTTGAATTTAGGAGTCAACGCCGTCTTCTATCAGCTTTCACAGGCGTCTGCTTTTCTCAAAATGTCGTCAAAGTCACACGGATAGCTTTGCCAAGTCATGGCCTTGGGAATGAGCCCGCTGTGTCGATGTCGTTTTCGTCACATCGTGAGAGCAAATTGCATCGCAGCTCAAAGAAATTGGGCATGAAGCGAATTGGGACCCATCCCGCTCGTCAACATTTACCACACTTTCGACATGTCCTCTCTGACTCCATATCGAGACGAGGAAGAACTCGTCTGTTGTAAACCAGACGTACATGTACCGACTTGAGTGAGTTGTTATTTTTCATGCTTTCGCGCGGATTATTTCTTCGAGTTCACAGTGAGTTTTTCCAGCCAGCTCTCGAGCGCGCATACGGTAAGACGGCAAACTCCCCGGGCGATCGCCAGGATTGCTAATCTTTTTGAAACTGACTGTAAAAAGGTAGGGTGCCAGTTTCCAATAATTCTAGAAAAAATCACAAGTCAACCGATACTATACATATGTACATGAGTACATATACATGCATGCAATTTTCATCATCCAGCATAGCAAGCTGCGTTTGTTTCATAGGGAGTGGAGGGTGTGCGAGTAAGAAATGAGCGATGTTCATTTCAGGGATGATAAAACACTTTTGCGACGACCCCTTACAGATGTACATGACACATATGACGTACATCATAACATGAAATACATCTACTGCAAGTAAATTGAAATTACTCAATCTGCAGAGTATGTACATACCAGCCCATACGCATTGAGGATCTTGCGATATCGACGGATTTGTTCGGTGTAGATGCTGTCTTCATCGTCATCATACTCTACGTGGCTAGCAGCATAAAGCTGTCGAGAGAACTCCCGACTTGTTGAGAATGGCTCTCGGATGTTGTCATGCAGTTTTGCCAGTACTTCCTCTGCCTGCTCGAGCACTTTGGGTTGCTTGCAAGATTTCTGAACATGCACATCAACACAGTGGGTAAAGTACACTCTGTTCACAAACATGATTAAACATTTTATCGTTAATGATGTATGTATACGTCACTGAGAACGAACCCAATCCACTAATGACGTACTTCCTCCGTAAGCGAAACTTCATTGCATATTTACAGTTCAGTATAAAGCTTTCTATGGCTACAAACACACTTTGAAAAGTGGAAAACACAGCAGCATATGAGGGATTAGTTATTTGCAGATGTCATACAGCTCGTTTCAAAGCAGTCTAGCTTCACTCTTCGTCTGAATCTCATGACGACTCCAGTAAGATATCTTGTCTGCATCCCCGCTGACTTTCGTTTTTCTTCCGCAGCCTTTACAAGTTGCCAAAACACTAGAAATCGCCAAGTTCTTTGCCAGAACTGTGAGCTTGACGACCTCCACAGTGGCGCTGGTAGTTGTTGTCTCTGCCACTCTCCAGAATGCCGTGATGGAAAGAGGCATACAGACACAGCCAAACGCTCCTCATCTTGGCAACGGGGTATTCGTGCCAACATGTTTCCACAGCTTGCAGAAGCTTCTTTCTGGTTTCTAGTTGAGATTGGGACTTTGAGTCGGCTGAATGGCAACCCGAATGTCAAACCCTTTTGCTTTCCCCTGCGCTGCTAACACACGTGCATTGATTTGGGCTGCGTGCGGACGTGCACCATCGTGCTGGTACGGCATGCAGTGGCTGGCCGAATTCTTCGAGCAGCGCATCTTTTAAACTGTTTCTCATTTTCGCACTTCGGTGTCGTCTGGGCCTGGATAGGGTTGTGTTCTGGTGCCGATTTTCGAATGGGACACCACACATATATGTATATTATATCGAGCCTGATTGGAAATTTGTATTTTCATTGCTATTAGGTTCGGCCTCATTTCCTCTGTGCTGCGTTGATGAGTTCACAAAGAACGAAACAGCATGCTGTCCGCAGATTGAGCATTTCGCTCCTGCTCTTGTAGTAGTTGAGCACTCTCATGTGGGGTAGTGCCTTTGCTGTTTGCATTGCGCAGAGCTCACTGACTTGTCAGTTTGAGCACTCTGGCAAGGTACGTTCGGGCCTGATTGGAATTTTTTTATTTTCATTGCTATCAGGTTCAGCCTCATTTCCTCTGGGCTGCGCTGATGAGTTCACAAAGAACGAAACAGCATGCTGTCCGCAGATTAAGTGTATAATGTATTTTATACTTTTGTCGTAGTCCGGCGGCCCGGAGTTAGGCCCCGGAGCCGCGGCACCAACATGACTAATCTACAACTATCCCATTACAGGCCGTGCAGTGGTGGCCGTAACTACAATTACATTATTAAACATACCGACACCACATACACTCGCACATCAGACATATTTAGCCATGTTAGGGTCACACCACACCTAGACATACACTCACTCGCCGCGCCATGCCCTCACATATACAGCACCCGCATTCACATACTTACACACATAAACACACACACACACACACACACACACACACACGCTTATACTTTCACATCGAGACTCACATCTTGCGGTCAGACATAATATCAAACGATACTTATCAAAACGAGAGGAGAGAAAGTCGTGACTTGCCGTAAAGACCAAGTTGCTAGAGAGAGAGAGAAGGAAAGTCAACGCAATAGTATCTAGTTGCGGCCATGGAAGTCCATGGCCACGAGATTGCTGGTCCCGCATGCAATAGCGTATTACCGTAATAAATATGTGTACGAAGAGCGGGAGCCATGTGGGGAAAATAACAGCGTAGACAACATAAGGGAGGCCTCGTGTGAAGATATAAAATAAAGAAGATTATGAACCCGTTTACGGGAGATAGATAAATAATAAAACAACTAAATAAGGCATACTTGTCCCGTAGAGGCCTAAAAGGCACGTGCCAATCGTATGGATACGACATATCCCCCCGCTTACACGGAAAAGAACACGTCCTCGTGTTATAAGTAACGTAATAAATTAAACTAAGATTATGGCTAACAATTTAACTAAACGAGTGCAGGTCACAATTTGAGTTCCGATCAAAAACTGTTCAAAGACTAGCTGTAATATTGGCCACAACCAATCCAGTCAATACCACTGAAATCCTTACTCGTGCCAGACGGGACTCCCAAGCAGCTGAGGTGGATGGCGGGAACGCGGGGTTCGCCTTTCCATCACGTCAACTGGCGGAGCACTGTCGAATACCCGAGCGGTGTCCTCCTCGTCTCGGGCGGCGGCATCAGTGGCATCAGGCTGGTATGGCGCAGTGAACAGGATTCGAACCTGTGCGGGCAAAGCCCAATTGATTTCCAGTATCCTGTTCACTGCGCCAAATGTCGTAGTCCGGCGGCCCGGAGTTAGGCCCCGGAGCCGCGGCACCAACATGACTAATCTACAACTATCCCATTACAGGCCGTGCAGTGGTGGCCGTAACTACAATTACATTATTAAACATACCGACACCACATACACTCGCACATCAGACATATTTAGCCATGTTAGGGTCACACCACACCTAGACATACACTCACTCGCCGCGCCATGCCCTCACATATACAGCACCCGCATTCACATACTTACACACATAAACACACACACACACACACACACACACACACACACACGCTTATACTTTCACATCGAGACTCACATCTTGCGGTCAGACATAATATCAAACGATACTTATCAAAACGAGAGGAGAGAAAGTCGTGACTTGCCGTAAAGACCAAGTTGCGAGAGAGAGAGAGAAGGAAAGTCAACGCAATAGTATCTAGTTGCGGCCATGGAAGTCCATGGCCACGAGATTGCTGGTCCCGCATGCAATAGCGTATTACCGTAATAAATATGTGTACGAAGAGCGGGAGCCATGTGGGGAAAATAACAGCGTAGACAACATAAGGGAGGCCTCGTGTGAAGATATAAAATAAAGAAGATTATGAACCCGTTTACGGGAGATAGATAAATAATAAAACAACTAAATAAGGCATACTTGTCCCGTAGAGGCCTAAAAGGCACGTGCCAATCGTATGGATACGACACTTTCGATTAAGTTTTCCATCAGCCCGATTGGTATTGTTGCTAACGGCTTTTGTTTACGTCACTTCTGTCAGTTAATTGTATTGTATTACTCTTCAGACATCAATCCTGAATGGCGTAAGCGAAAGTGGCGCCCCGCCACCTTCGTGGACGTGCGTTTAATATTAATAATAATGGTAATAATTCAAGGCAAAATGTGTGACCGCTGTACTAAAGGCAGGAAAACATGCAGCATCTGAGGAGATCCTATTGCCTGACTGCTCATCTATCAGGTCGCTACAGCCAGAAGAAACGTACAAATACCACGGTTTCCTTGAAGCTGGAGGTGTTGACCATTCAAATAAGAAGACGAAAATCCTGCAGGAGTAGAAGTGGCGTGTGCGACGAGTACTCCGCGCAGCTCTAAACGGCCACAACATCATCACAGCCATCAACACCTGGATTGTGGCTTTGATATGGTATAGTGCTGCTATCTTGGCATGGATGCAAGACGAGTTGAAATTTGCTGACCGAAGAACGCGCAAGCTTATGACCACCCATGGAGCTCTCCATCCACGCGCTAATGTAGCCAGTATGTACGTCAGTCGCAAGGAGGGTGGACATGGTTTGCAAAATATTCATGATTATGTCACAATGGAGAAAAGCAATCTGCAGCATTATGTGCATCAGTCAGATAAGGAGCTCCTGAAGGTGGCTGCGCCCATTCTGTGGCCACATCTGGATGCCCCACCGGACTCCTCACAGGTAGTGAAGTGTCGCTTCAAAAAGAACACCTCTTGTCGTGGACCCAGAAACCCGTGCGTGGACAGTTTGTCTGGCAAAAAGAAAAACTGACCAAGGAGAACACCTGGAACTGGCTGACAAAGGCTGGTCTCAAGAAGACCACAGAGAGACTGATCACTGCGGCACAAGACTAGGCCTTAGAAACTAACCTGCTCAAGGCCCAAATCTTCTATCAGGGCAAAAGCCCCCTGTGTCGAATGTCTGGGAAGGCAGGCGAGTCGGTTGCCCTTATCCTATGCGAGTGTTCGAAGCTCGCTGGAAGGGATTACTTCGAACATCAAAATCGGCTGGCCTCTCTGGTCCACTGGTCGCTCTGTCGTGTACATGGGATACCATGTGAAGACAAGTACTACAAGCACCACTGTGATCCGGTGCTTGAGCATACCAAGACTAGTGTAACGGTACAAGAGCATCCTGCACCCGAGGATAATGTGCCTGAAGCTAGAGATACTTCAGACTCCAAAATCTCTCCACAGGACAAGAAGATCAAGATTCTGTGGGATTTCACCATCCGGTGCGATCGCTTCACTAAGCACCGACGGCCTGATATTGTTCTGGTTGATGGACCTGCCAAGAAGGCCATGATCATTGACATTGCTGTACCTGGTGTTCCACGCGTATCAAATTCTTGCTCACGAAATCCATCGACTATGGCAAGTTGAGACTCAGATTGTTCCTGTGGTAGTTGGGACTTAGGGCACGTTTCCAAACAGTTGCCAGGATACCTTGACACAATCGGTATCACCAGCTACTGTTCTATGTCTGAATTGCAAAAGAATGCTCTCCTTGGCTCGGCAGCTATCCTGCATAAGGTCCTTGCTTTGTTATGTTCTGGGGTGGGTGGTGGAGTTCTTCCGGTCCTATTTTCCTCCAAACCCTCTCGTGTTTCCTATGACAGATATTTAGAAAAGTGTTGTGTGTTTCTCTCTGTTGTTTACCTACCTTCATATTTAATATCCATATTTATTATGATGCATGGCCCCACCTTTGGCTGCTGGATTCTAGCTCGGTGGGTGCCTATCTCTAGCCTTCGGCCGAGTGCTCATGGATAATTGGATCATTCAAAGGATCAGACGGGGAAGTGAACTGCCTAAAAAGATAAAACATCACCAGACCCCCAGGACCTTGTCCTGGTGGCTGAGTAGATCAGACTCACAGCCACGCGCTCTTGGACCAAAAATCACTTTCGCTCATCCATATTTTCCCTCGTGTCAGGCCATGATCCAGGCACTATCCCTGCAGCTAGCCACTTTCTATGCCGGACATTATTTTGTGAAGGTCATTCTTGGAACATCGTGTAAGGTTGCTTTCCAGTTTGAATAGTTCTTTCATAACCAAATCCATGGCACAATTCACGGGAGAGGTGCAAGTGCGGATGACCACAAATGAATATAAACTCTGTCTAATGCACTGGTGTGCATTGCAGTTCTATCTCTGTCTCTCTTTAACTCCCACTCTCACTCTCTGTCTCCCTAACTCTTTCTCTCCATCGTTCTGTCCATCTTTCTCTTCATCTCTTTCTGCCTTTCTTTCTCTCATTCTCTTCTCTCTGGTTTTTTCTCTTTCTCTTTCTCGTTCTCATTATCTATCTCTATATCCTTCTCCCTCTTTCTCTCCATCTTTCCATCTTTGACTCTCTCTATCACACTTTATCTTTCCTGATCCCTTTACTATCCCCTAGTTTCTCCACTAGTTGTAATTGAAATCTGGTTTACAGTTTTACTTACGCTCAGGATATCTCTGCAGACCTCAGAAAGTTTTACTCTCAAGCGATCGAAGTCGGCGTCATTGACGGTGGCATTGATAGCAAAGCGTCCTCGAAAGTGGAGTTTATCACCAAACTCCTTCTCGACACTACTATAGCTTGTGGCAAGCTTTGCAGCAAGTTTTCCATGATCCTCTCTCTTGATCTCGTCGCGGAAGGTCGCAATGATCATGACATTGAACGGCTGTTCTGTATTTGCAACAACAAGAGATGAGAAACGCAACTAAAAATATATATATATTTGTGGTGAGGAGATTTGAGGAAAGGTGATTTTAAGCAACACACTCTCCGCAATATCATAGTATGCAGCTAACAAATTGGTCAAAAGAGTGTTTTAAAGCAGTTGTGCTCATGCTACTTCAAATGAATTGGCGACCGATAGTACGTACTAGGGTGTTATGAGCAGCCTCGAATATATATCTCGTGAGTGAGGATGGAACCATGCCTGACCTCCATGTGTTCGGTCTCGGGCTGAGAACCTTGGTAATCTACTGGAGAAGTGGCTGCACAGGCCAGGGAGAAGTGTGCGCTGCTGTTTCTGCGACAAATGAAGAAGAAGCAGCTAATGCCGACCAGGCTGATTTAATTATCAGATCACTGAGGAGCAAAGTCTGGAGATGAAGAAGATAGATGCGAGTTCTCTGAATGTTTCCGAAAATCTTGGGCTCCATCGGGCATAGACAATTTTGGTATGGACATATTATATTTCGGACGTTGCTCAATTGGAGAAGAGAGCAGAATATTTGAACCACGGGCACGGCTCTTTCATTCAAGGCTCTCCACACTAAAGGATCTGCACATTTTCGATCCAGAAGCTGTTTGTTGTTTCTCACTTGTAAGTTGTGGACTCATTGTTGCAGCAAAGATGAGGCGGGACTATTCCATGCCCTAAAATAAAATAATTAATTTCTTTCTCAAACACAAAGCTCACTTTCCCTGACTGCATGTATATGCCCGTGACAAGTCTGTGGACTTGTGCCACTTGATTCATGTAGCACGATAGTGCGGGTATCCAGTAGACTGGTAGTGGTACATAACTTTATGCATAGACCATAGTGCTCTGTGTGGTAAACCTGTTAACCACTGCACACACACAGCGTTAAAAGTCCAACTCTGGAAAGTTCGGAATAACTTGAAGATTTGTATAATGTCCACTATCAGTGAACGCGTCCATGTGCCATGTATCGACACTCTTATCTCATTTTCTAGACCACCTCCGTGTGAACATACATGGGCAAAAGGAAAGACCCAGTACATGGGGCAGTGCATGTTCAGCTTGATGTGCAGTAACAATTCGTTAGTACAGTGTACAGTGTAGTGCACAGCACTTGTGAATAAAACTGTTTGTTCATGTGAAAACAGTCTGATTTCACGTATCCAAAATATCCCCGGGACCACATATGCTCCCGGGCCCATATTGACGCACATGTGCTCGACCTTCACCAATGTTTCAACCCAAGGACTTATTACAGGCATTTACCATGGACAGAGAGATGAATATCTAGGGCTGAGTCTGGTAGCATTTTTCTTCAGGGATTTTTTGGGTAGTTTTCCACGGGTAGCACGGATACCCTATTGGGTAATGTTTCCATGGTGACAGCACAATGCACTCCTTCCCTTACACACTGGATAGACATGCAGAGTACTACATGAATTTGTACATGTGCACTGTACATGATGCCATCAGCGACTTCGGGCTTTCAGGTACTATTCTGTACCCGTTTTCACGAGATCCTTACGGGCTGCATGGGTATCCGACTACCCATGCACACCACTATAAATAACACACACATAAACACACACACACACACACACACACACCTGCATGCATGCACACACACACACACACACACACACACACACACACACACACACACACACACACACACACACACACACACACACACATACCTGCATGCACACACACACACACACACACACACACACACACACAGTGCCCTCCCTGCACCAGTATACAGAATCAAACACATACCCCAATCATTCATTCATTCATGTAGTGTTGTGGACGTGGAAATCCGGTCACACATCTAGCGGCCCCAGGGCACTCGCCATGCGGCCGTGGACAAGCGGTACACACATGCATTTATGCTCTGCAGAGCGCTGGTCGCATCGGATCAACATGTGCACTACACGCAGCGTTCTGTTCGTGCTGAGGGCGCCGGCCCCGGGCAATCAACTGAATTTCCACGTCTGCTACAGTACTTGCCGACATACGGATCAACAGACACAAACAAAATTTCACAAAAATGCATTTGATAAAATATCGCACTGACCTGATGTTACCGATGGTGGCTTCCGGCTCAAAAACCGACCAACTGTGGTGGTTATGCTTGTTGTAATCAGTTTCTCGTCCCATTTACTATTGACAACAGCAAGACCGAGGCTTGGTACTGATGTGGATAGGCAGAAAATGTCGTGTGTCGCTGAAAACGCGTCCTGCCCAGCGAGATCTTTGATCCGCAAATGCTGACCAAGATTATCAGTAAAGTTGGACATCTGGATGCCTCGGGTTCGTTTCGAGTCGTTTGATGTGCCGTTGTTTCCTTCTTCTCTCAAGGTCTTGATCAGTGTGGATTTCCCAACAAGTTGTTCACCGCTAACTAGAACAACTAGAGTGTTAGCGTCCACTTGGCCTTCAGAATAGAATTCTTCCAGCTGAAGGTAAGTCTGCGTATATATAATACACACAAGAACAACAATTAAAGAATAGGGGGTTCGTCAACTTACAACCGCTCTATTCAGTTGCTATTCACACTTGGCTCATGCGCTGGATGAAAATTCTTTATCAGAGACTTCGAAAAAATTATGACGTTTCGGGCCACTTATTGTGCAAAACGTTAGCAACTGAATAGAGCGGTTGTCAGTTGATAAACTCCCTTTTCTATATAATGCAGTTGTGGGATGTCCACCATTATCTTAGTGAAGAAAAACAATTACTGGATATAAGTGTTGAAAGCAATTTTTCCTAAGGGTTGGTTCACATAAGCAAAATCGGCGCTGAAAGACATCACAAGACATCGGCGGAGATCTCGATCCGTTGCGCATACGGTTCGAGTACCAAATCTACTACAAAGCAGTACAGAACGTGTCAAACTGCTACGACAGGTTTGCCAATTGTAGCTTGAATTCTTTGTTTCTTCAGCAGTTCAAGGTCTTTCGGTGATGGCCACTGGTTGCTACCTTTTACTGGAGATCCGGAAACTACTTCTTCACATTTTCTTGCAGTCTAGTAAGCTATGGTGTCGAAATTATGCATGCAAACGTTGATGAAGTCACAAGAAGTTGCCAATGTATCCATCGTATTTTCTATTTGTTTCAATTGTATTTGTCTCATAAGCTGCACAACAGTCAAGCAGATCATCCGAAAAGGACGGGTTGGTATGCTGACTTATTTGCCACCTTGAAGCGAGTACAAGAATGGCGAACGAACCTAGTCTCTAGCTTCAATTTAGGAAAATTTAGGTCGAGCCTTCGTTTGAAATTTTGACAAAGTCTGGCTTCCGGCAGCCGGCGATCACCGGCGCAAACGGTTCAAAAACTACTTTTGGTCAAAATCGTACGGGATCGGTGCCGGGGCAGATCGCAAGAGTTAGGCACTGTCCAACTTTGCCAGCGGTCCCTTGCGATATTTACTGTATGATTTTGTTACGACTGGGAAGATAATAATGGTCCATAGTTGGTAGTGTTCATCTGTTTGACAGTAAAGTATGCGAGGAGAACATTTCTTAAGTGGTGATGTGTTTTTTTATAAGACGGACAATATGAATGAGAAGATCAGGTTAAATTGGTGGACAGCTAGTCATAACTCGTAACATGTTGTGCTTTCTCTACTTACCCGAAGAAAACGACGGTTGTGTGACCAAGCAGTCGGCTTGTCAGCGGCATGTCGCACAATTTCCATTACCTACATTGCCAATAGAACACACAGGAAAAACCATGACAGTTGTACAAGTAGGAATAGGGAAGAGGACAGGTGGTTGGTAGAGAATCGTCCGTAGAGAAGCAGGGTTGCAGTGAAGTGAGGTGCCATTAAAGACGGTCACGGACAAGGTAGCATGAGTAGAAAGAATACTTTTCTTTGTGGTTATTAACTTAATATGTATACTGTATAGCAGAAAATTTTCGGACGGAATTTATTTTCGTACGATTTCGTACGCGGCCTTTTTTGTACTAAAATTACTTCCGTACGAAAATTAGTTCATTTGAAATTATGTACACTATACATGTGTTCTGCATGCGAACACGTGTATTTAGCATGCAGCACTGTACGAAAATATAATCCGTACGAAAGGTCGAAATTCGTCTTTGTCCGAAAATATTTCCGTCCGAAAATTTCCTGCTATACAGCATATTATTGCACGATTAACGAGGTCAATAGATGAAGCACAGAACGAGTAATAAAACGAGGTCCACCGAGGTCTTTTACGACATCTATATTTCATATATTGACCGATTATGGAACTAGTTAGCCAGATGTCAGCCATTGTAGACCTGAAAGCGGAAGTTGAGTCTCTCCGTTGCTAGCTAGCAGACGTTAGTTTAAAATCACAAACCCGCGCACCTATCCCGCCCACCCAACCTACCGGTATGCCTTTTGATCACCATGAACCTACATGTACGAGTAGTTCCCCATCCGATACACAGCATTTGAATTCCACCGTAGCACCAGCCCCACGTTCACAGCAGCAGCATTTGAATCCCAACGCACCCGTTCAGTTTGAACAGAGGCTCACAAACACTCGTCCGCTCTACAACGCCCAACTGATGAGCCTGCCACACCGTAGTACTCCACCGCCATCATTCCAACGCCCAGCTGACCAAACACCCACACCGTACACGCACAGTTCAGTCACATCATACTTCCACAAGACAAAGAAGTCAACACAGGGTCTCCTACGCGGTGGTTCCCGTGTAAGGTGCAAAGCACTCCACGTCAGCAACATAGACAGCGGCTGCCATGCTGAGGCAATAGCTAAGTGGTGCGCAAACAAAGATGTTCACATCATCAAATGCTCTGTGGCTGAAACACGCTATTTTGGACTGGCTTATGCCCATGTTGTGGTTCTTGAAGAGCACTTCACCACGGTCCAATTTGATGATTTCTGGCCTGCCTCCGTACGTGTTCGCGAATGGCGCTTCTCCTCTGACAGTGTAGGCAAATGAGCAGTACATGCATCCTAAATCCCAACGCTCTCCCCTTCAACCCACACCCTCCAACTACTTCAACCGTTTCCTCGAGCCTGGACTCTACACTAAATGTTTTGCACAGCCCTTCTATCCTATCTCCAGCTCCTCTAACCATTCTACTCAATCTTCTTCCCACGTGTCCTTTGCGGTGATAAATGCACGCTCAATAAACAACAAACTCGGTGAACTCTCCATCCTTTGCAATGCCAAGAAGCCTGACATTATCTGCATCACCGAGACTTGGCTCACCACCAACCATACTTTACACTTGCCGAACTATGCAGTATTCCGCCGTGACCGACCGCAAACTCCCTCTAACCTTGGCCCCTTCAGAGGCTATGGGGGTGTTGCCATCCTGGTGCTCACTACCGCCTTCAGCAAAGTGAGAGAGATTCACTCATTTCGCCAACAGAACTTTGAAGCAATTGCTGTTGAAGCTACTCCCATAGGTTCATCCCAACCACTGTCGTTTGCCTGCTTGTATAGACCCCCTAACCAGCACGCTGCTGACCTACAATATTTTGTAGACACTCATTAAGCTACCTGCTCCATAATCTACCATTGTAACTGGTGATTTTATTGCCCATTGCCAGAGCTGGTGTGCCTCCGACTCAACATCTGCTGCAGGCTCTGCCTTGTGTAACCGTTTTCGCTCCATAGCACTGTCTCAACTTGTTACGTTTCCCACCCATCTTACATCCAATGGGCCCTGTGGCTGCCTGGACCTGGTCGCCACAAACATTCCCGAGAAGTTCACATCCATTGAATCCCCGAGCCCCCTGGGTGCCTCCGATCACTTAATCGTCCTCGGCAGGCTCTCCATAGCTAAAGACATAGCACAGTCTCGAAAGTCCACATCTGACACTGCACCGCCTCGCTTCAGCCATCACTTGCTCACTCAATCGCAATGGGAAAGCGTCAATGCTGAAATTGCCGCAACTCACTGGAGTGACCTTTTATGCGGCCTTGATATTGATACAGCCGTTTCTAACTTCTCGTCTGTCCTCGAATCGTCTCTCTCAGTCTGCTCTTCTCACCGCGATCACCAGTTAACCCTTTAAGAGCCGCCCTATACTTGAATGCGTCGTAAACGACGCATTCAAATGCAAAACTTCAAAAGATCGTAACTCAGTCCAATTTCAAATCCAGTGATCGAAATATCCAGGGCGAAGAGAAAACTCTCACCTGTCGGAAGAAACAATCCGCGAAGCGCTGCGAGCAACGGTTCCTGAGATAAATCACTCGTAAGTTGTGCCGCGATAGCGGCAATTTCAAAAGCGCGCAGTGCGACTTTAGTATTGAGAATTTTGAGACTTTTCGTCACACTGGTTTACTCGAATTTGCAAGGGTTTCACTGTTGATATTGTCAAGAGTACACAGCGAAAAAATTGGAACTCCACGATCGAGTAAAATGAACTATCTGGAGCGGGACGCAATTGGACGCATTGGGGGCATTTTTCGTACTGTCGCTGCGATCTAGCGCTGGATAGACGGTGTGCTGGCTATCATGATTGACCTCATTCTCTTCCTCTCATGGGGACCGTTCCAGGAAGCCCTAGATTGTGAGGATTGAGTGAGTAGAACTGAAGCTATGATCCAAGGAACACGAAAAATGCAGAATTTTGAAATTTTCCTGTGGCTCTTAAAGGGTAAACCACCAGAAACCGAAGTCGCCCTTCATGCCAGAATCCACTATGGATGACACCAGTGCTCAGGGCAGGCATTAAGAGAAAGCATGACCTCTACAGCATCTATAAAAATACCCTACCCCGTCCAATGCAACGCAGTACAAACGTCAGCAGAATATAGCACGTGTAGCCCATAAAGAATACATCCAGACCATTACTACTTCTCTCACCGACAGCCAGCGTCCATCACTTCACTCATTTATAAGAACTCTTCGTAAATCAGCATCGTCATTGGGCTCTAGTCCAACAGCAATCACTGTTGTGTGTCTGGGGGCGTCTGCTCTAGTTGGTGGCGTCTGCGTCTGCGACGTCTAGTGTAGAGTTTCCATTCTTCCTCTGCTGCATTGAGCTTCTGCAGGAGTTGTTCGGCGCGATTTCCATCTTCCTCAAGTAGGCTCTCGTCGTTTCTGCCGTCTTCCGCTGGCGTGCAAGGTGAGCCTGGTGAGTGGCAATACATGCTCATACTGGTTGATAGTGCACAGACTGCTCTCTCGTTGGCTCGATCGATATCTGTACTAGTTCTACGAGTACGAGTTTGGTGCTCATCGGAGGCACTGGCAGTGTGTCCGTGCAGGTCTGCACTTTTGCTGGGATGGATGTGTTCAGTGACTTCCTGTTGGAGTGAGCTAGCAGGGGTCACAGGGGATGCTACATGTGCGTACAGTAAGCTGGCCTGGCCTTTGGAGGCTGTCGGATCTGGTGCTGGATCGTCGTTTTGGGTCTGTGTGTTGGTTGATTCGGTGATTTCCTGTACGAGTGTGCTGGCAGGGACCGGGCTCGCTACCTGTGCGTACCATAAGCTGGCGTGGCATGGCAGGGCTGTCTTCGGTGTCGGATCTGGCGCTGGGTCGTCGTTTTGGGTCTGTGTATTGGTTGAAATGCGGGTCCGTGTGTTTTGTAGCTTGTTCAATTTAGGGCAGGAGCCGGCAAGGTGATTTTCTGAGTTGCAAAGGCGGCAAGTTGGCGCCTGGCCCTCGTGCTTCACGCGGAAGGTATTGCCTTCGACTGTCCGCAAGAATGATGGCACCTGCCTACAACCGTTGTTCACGCGGACAGTTGCGAAGCGTATGCCTGTTCCGACAAATGCGCCCCAACTTTGTGCGGGTACAGCCGTGGCGAATGGTGCCTTGTACCGTACCGTATTTTGTGAGTGCATGTATGATGGCGGCATCGGAGATCCAAATCGGGACATCAAAGATGTGCACATGCAATGAGAGAGAATGGTGGACAACAATATTATGTGTTTCGCCAAGAAAGAAACCGTGTTCTGCAATGGACTTTGTAGTGGATTGGCTACAGAACGTTACCTTGCAGGCTCATCCGGTGATTTGAATGGAGGCGACGTCAGCATAACCCTGGTCGATGAGGATGTCCGCAATTTCCACAATTTTCTGGTTACTAGTCAGAATAGCAGTGCATTTAGCAGTGCATATATGCTTCTAGGGTGGGGACGTAGTCACGACACTCAGTGCTTCAAAACTTGCTTCTTACTCCTGGCGAGTGTACTGTGGTGTGGGTTGAGGAGAGTTTCCTTTTGAAAATGATTGATAGCTGAAGCATCGATCCATTCTAGCTGTCATTTTTCAATATATTTTTCGTTGAAGGGGGTGGGTGGGTGGGGGAAGGTCAAAACAAACAAAAAATCATTCCGTGAAAATTATGGATTATGCCAGATGGCCTCTAAGTGGTCAATATAAGTGGTCAATATAAGCGGTCATTATATGGGCCAGTGCATGCAATACCGTGTCTAAGGGCAATTTTTTCTTTCTTGAAAATCAATCACAGGGGTCTAGAGAACACCTCTGTGGAAGATGAAGTTGGAGATCACATTTGAAAGTACATAGATACCATGATTTCTATGGCATTGTCCAACATAGAATATGCCTTGTATAATGCATTGTCTACAGTGTCGCTGAAAGAAGCAACAGCTTTTGCGTATCAGCCTTTAGAATTGGCCAAGACATTCAATGAAGGCTGCCTTGTTCTCCTGTAAAAAACCGGGCAACATTGTCCAGCAAGTTCTTGTGACATTGAGCTAACAAGAACTAGCGTTCTTTTTGTGCAAAGACAACATGGTCACGGAGTGGTTCCATTGCAGAATTCTTTTCATCCTATGCACGAGACGAACGAATATCGTCCTGGAGCAGCTCACACTTGTTGCACACATCCATCCGTCGCGTCATGAACTCGATGGACTTGTACTTCTTAGTCGACAAAAACAAAAATATACGTTAACCCAAGGTTTGCGATTCGCCAGACTGCTCGACATGTTCCAAAAGGACAAACTTGTAGGCGACATATGTAGGTAAGTTTATGGGAGATTCCCCACTCCTCCCTCTTGGTGCAGCAGACAGAGGGAGACTGAACACTAAGCTGTAGTTTAGGATAAACTGCTGCGCTCTGTCTCCCACTTCTGCACTAAATTTATTCCAAGGCACATTGCCAGATTTCCATGTGCACCAGGATGACAGCTATTGACATAGTATGGTTTTCCTTGTCCACTTGCACACAGTCATGTTCTGCCAACCACATGGAGCTGCATAAACACGGTTCCACACACGATGTATCCCATCACAGTTTATCCAAATGTGATGCGCGTCCGTTCCGTTGCGGAAGCTGTCGACTGATGCACGATAGTCGACAGGATCGTCATGCGTGCAGCGCAGCCAGCACACCAATATAAAAAAGCCGAGGTCCTTGGATTTCATCGTCGTAATGGAGGATTGCGCTAGACGTGAAGCTGCTGAAATGGTAGTTTCGAAACGCAGCCACAGCCTTGGAGAATTAGTGAGTCCACAGCGGCAATGCTCTGAAACGTGTCCTGCTCATCGTCACTTGCAGAGTCCACAGAATCTCCGCCTAATTCATCCGCTCTCGACTCGCCTTCAACCTCAACGCAGGAGTCTTTCACTCCCGGACGCTTAGCTGGGGCTTTGTCAGAGTCACTGTGAGCAGTACAGCTGCTAGTTGCCGACTGCTCCGACTCTCGACTTGCCAAATAAAGTGTCGTCTTCCTCGTCAACAGTAAACCTTGCCGATCTCTTCGGACGCGCCGACGATAATCACGCGAGCGGCACAGCTCAATCGACGTGCTGTTCGGCGTCTGCCGCGAGTGTGTCTACTCAGAGGCCCTTCCTCAAGTGCTACTTGCAACTCCTCCTGCGCCGCCACGTCCATGATGATTGCTGCAAGTCGATCGCTTGTCGCTTCTCTTGTCGTCTTGAGATCGATTAGGAATGTAGACAAGATCCGCGATCGAGCCACAAAAAAATATAACTCTTCTTTCCGAGCGATTTTCTCAAAATTCTGAAAGAAATCGGTTTCCCCCGAAGACACGTTTTCGCATGCACTGGTGATAGTTGACCGCTCAGAGATCACACGTTTCTGTGGCGGTCAATAATAAGAGAGTAATAAACTTGTATAAGTAGTACATATACATGTAACGTCAAAGAGAATACTAAGCTAGAATCCCATCACAGGAGATCCTTCTCAGTCCTGTCGTCAATACTGGGTCCCAAAATGCTTTTAAATAGTTATTAACCCACGTGCATGCACGCATAAGCTCAACAAACTTCAAACAAACAAAACACACATACACACACTTATCCAGGCGCGCTCTTGCGCATGTACGCGCGCACACACACACACACACACACACACACACACACACACACACACACACACACACACACACTCACACACATGCGCGTGCCCAATGCACAAAATGCGGACACACATACACCAGGGAAATAGAATGCAAGGTAGTGGGGTTTGCCATAGTTTTTTTTTCTTCTTTTTTTTCTCTTCACATTTTGTCTGATACATTTTGACGAGACTGTGCATTGAGCGACACCGTGGATAAAATTGAGCCAAGAATTATGTAATAAGCCAGCAGAGATTATCTCAAATAAAACCATAGGTGCCCGGCAACAGCAATCGGGCGAGTCACAGCAATGTAGGCATTGCAACTTCACTGAGACAGATACAAAGTTGACCACCCATGCCTGGCAACTTCAAACAGGCGGGTCAACCACATGGTGGCCCGGCAACTTCAAACGGGAACACACCGATACAACAGACACAGTTGACCACCCATGCCTCCATTTTCGGCGGGTCAACCACATGGTGGCCCGGCAACTTCAAACGGGAACACACCGATACAACAGACCCAGTTGACCACCCATGCCTCAACCGGCGGGTCAACCACGCAACAACATACAGCTGTTACAACACTGAAACAGTACAGCACACCACTGAGAGGCAAATGCATTTTACCCTCCTTGGACCTCGTCACGCAGCACGAAACATGTCATGTCTAATGGGAGGGAGGGAGGGAAGAAAACACAGCCCTGAGCCACCTTGACCAACTGGCTGACAGAAATTGTTGACAAGGATGTTGCTTTGCTGACACAAGGCAAGGCAAAGCGGCCACGTAAACTTATATTTTTTACATCCGCCATTTTCGGAAAAATATTATTAATTTTTTTATTCATCAGGTGCACGTGCCGCGTGACGAACCCGGGACCAACACGTGCATGCGTGGGCTAACTTGGCTTTGCTGCTCAAAGCCGTCATTTATTACTGGAGTGCGCGATTCAATATGAAATCGAACGTATCTTATCCGGGCTCCTTGGGACTATGCACTGCCCGTATCTCAGATTTGCCCGTATATTAGAACATATTGTCTACCATCTATTATACCAGTTTTGAAGCAGTTTTTTGGCACGTAGTACGCATGTTCAGGATAAAAAATAATGAATTGATGAAATTCAGTTCGGATGGTGAGCCAATTAAATTTAAAAAAAATGAAAATTGAAGTTTTGGAGCTAGCTGTCAGGTCGCCGAACGTCTCAGTACTCCTTGTCAGTGTTGTGCATATTTTTTGTCGCACTCGCTGACTGTATAAGATCTGGTTACTTTGGTGGACAGTTAGTCATAATTTGTAACATTTTGTACTTCTTCTTTTCACCATGAATTGATTAAAATGTGTGTTTGTTTTCACTCACAAACCAACTGTTCACTGCATGGGATAGTGGTCAAGCTAAAGGTGCCCGGTAGAGAGGCGTGCCAGTATCTGAGGTGTCCGGATAGGAGACAATTGAGTGTACTCATTGCTATTAATATTTGCAACCATTGCACCCTTTCCGCAGTCTTAGTAAACTGCATTGCAACCATTCATACATGATTGCACTCATACCAAACACCCACGCATGACGTTTCAGCTGCGAACGTCACTTTTGGGTCACGTTATGTTTGGGCATATCCCATCATAAGTTTGAACCAGTAACCTGATACTGAGCCATGCCTGAATATTTGGTGAATCAAAAGCGGTGTTTGCAGCAGGGAGACTTTTTTGTGTGAGTGTATGGAGGGAATAGAGTTATATTGTTACCTCATTGGTTACGCAAGTTTTCGAATGGGAATTCATTTTGACGTATTTTCTTTTTTTCTAAGTTGCGCTTACCTTCTCCTGCTCCTCTGGGTACTTGCTCTCAAGATGGCGGACAATTGCCCTTAAGTTAGGTAAAGAGTTGTCGTCCAAACTCCTTGCTACTGCAGAGTCCAGGCATGTCATGTTGTACTGGTAGAATGAAAAATGGTAAAACGACAAGAAAGTGAAAGACCTCTTAGTAAACATTGCACATAGCTCTGTAAACCAGAACAGCAGTTGATTTTGAATACGTTGCAGATTCAAGAAACTAATGACTTTTCTAATGCCCATGCTGAGAATTATCACAACTCCCATTAACACATTATAATAGTGGAGCCAAACTATATCTTGCGATCAGAAAATTGTGCAAATTCTTTAGTCCATACTTCAAGTATGCTATTGGTCAGAGAAAATAATGTAATTCCTCATTGGTTGATTCGCGTTTTTGAGTTGCAGTTAGACCGATCTGTCAAATGGTCTTACCAATCTCCTGACCATTCTGTAGCTTTCGACATTCTTTCCTCCCGAATGATATACCTCGTGCACATCTTTGTTGCATTATCTTCCCCTCATTTGACCTTTCTGCACATAAAGCTTCCAAGTGATACAAGTAGGTTGTTGTTTTTCAATTCGTAGATTTGTTGGCGCTAGGTGTCAGGTCGTTCAATGTCTCAGTACCTCTGTCAGTTTTGCGTCTTGTTGTCGCACTGTCTGACTGTTTTTTCTCCCTTTACATTGGTGGATCGTTGTCAAAACTCGTAACATTTTGGCCCTTACTCCCAGTTTGACCCTTACTCCCATTTTGACCCTTACTCCCATTTTGACCCTTACTCCCATTTTGACCCTTACTCCCATTTTGACCCTTACTCCCATTTTGACCCTTACTACCATTTTGACCCTTACTCCCATTTTGACCCTTACTCCCATTTTCGCCGTTAGGGCCGGCCCAGACTAGGTAATAAAAATGGCGTGCCGTGCAGTCAACGTACGTGAATGTACGTGACGTACACGCGGTGCTCTGTCCACACTACAATCAGGTGCACTCGCAAAAGCTGTCGTGGAGCACGTGCACCCGTGTAGTTGCACTGCAGCTGCAGAGGCTCTGCTTCATGTAACACTATAGTGGCCCCTTCGTTTTCTCTGCAAACCCGCTAGAAATACCAGCATTTTTTAACGCCAAACACCATTATAACCACTGCCCTGGATAACCCCTGTGCCACTGCCTGCCTCCATTTCCCTTGTTTTCTCTGCAAGTAAAGAGTGGTTTGCAAGTTTTTTCTCTCTCTTTGTTTGTAACTTTGACGGGTTTTTTTTCCTTTTGTGATTCAGTTTCCCCTAGCGTAGATTTCACGATGATGGCCCCCCTCGGATTCTATTTCGTTGTTGGCTGACCCTGAGGTGCGTTTGGCTTTTAAAGCTGCATCCGTCCCCACTGGCGGGATACAAAATGGTCCCTCCGCCCCAAACAGCGGAATACAAGTCGGTCCCTCCACCCTACCAGCGGAATACAAAATGGTCCATCCGCCTCCGCCAGCAGCATACAAAATGATCCACCCGCTCACTCCGGCGGTAGACAAACAGGTCATTCCGCCACTGCCGGCGGCTCACAAATTGGCACACGGCAGACACCACCTCCAAGACCCTCAAGGGTAGATTCACACAGGGTTGCCACTGAGAGCCCTCCGGCCTCAGATGACGAATCTGTGGGATACGATGGTCATGCACGTTTTGCTAGGGACAAATCCCCAGGTTTGCATGTCCTTGTTTCCGACAATGAGTTGGACCACGGTCGTTCCCGTTCTCGATCGCCATTTTCCCATCAAGAACACCGTCGGGGACTCGAAAAGGCCAGTCCGCGAGCAGGCAGTCCGCACATGCGCCCTCAACGGGATTTCCGCATAAGGTCCCGCTCGCAGAGCTTGGGGTATCGTTACCGATCCCCAACAGCTTCACCAAAACCCCATAGGGCTCCCTCTGTACGAGGGCATGGAACCGGGACTGGGGATCGATCTAAACGACGACATCGTCGTTCGTCGAGTGAGTCCGGGTCGGGACCCGGCGATGTCGTGCCCTCTCGGGCCTTGGCCGAGGGAGCTGGGCGGAGAGTTTCCATCTCTCCTGGTCGTCGACGTTCGTTGGGCAGACGCTCCCGGTCCTCATCCACGGACTCCGGATCTAGTAGTGGGTCGTGCTCCTCGTGCGAGGTTTTCTCCTCTAGTTACACGGGCTCCTCACCTGACCGTGATCACGAGGACGAGGTCTTTGACCCGTCGCGCTTAGGTGCAAAGGACTCTTGGCACCCACCAGCGCATATTGAGGCTTTCCTCCGTGCTAATGCCCAGCGGTCTCTCATCTCCAAGCAGAAGGCAGAATTGAAAAAAATCTGCCCATTTCTGGAGGTGAAGGAGGCCCAGTGTCCTCGCCTGGATAATTTTGTACGCGACCTCCCGTCACTGGGCTTTGGCCGGAAGACTGATATAGCTATGACGGCAGTCCAAGCTCGGGTGTGTGCTGCGCTCGTTTCGGCGGCTTGGGCCGCAGTGGATTCTGGGCGACCAGCCAAGAAGATCACGCAGCCCCTGCAGGTCGCAGTGTCTTTTGTGGGTGATAACGCTAATAGCTTCTCGGTCATGTGGCGGCAAAGACTGATGGGGCAGCTCTCCAACAAGTGCTCGTCCAGCCTCCTCCGGGAAATGGCCCCGTCTGGGAACTTGCTGTTCGTCGAGGACTAGCTGGTTAGTACATAAACCCCGTTAGTAGATACAAATCTGAAATCCCCTGACGAAACGTGGTCTATACCACTGTTTACAGGTCCGGATACAACATAATCTGTTATAACATAAAACTCGTTATAACGAGTCTTTGTGCTGGCCCCGGGAAGCATCTCTTTCATTAGAACATAACTTGTCCAATGGAGAAATAAGAAGTTAGAGTGAAGAACAAAGGAAAGGTTTTCGTGCAGCGTCGTAACATCAAATACCCACAACATTTTCACCAATCTGTATAGGTTACTCCAATGAACAACATCGACAGCTAATTCAGTTTAGGCTACACCGTATGCACTCAACGACAGTACGCTACCAGCACACTCCAGATGAAGCGGCTATATCTGCAACGCATGGGCACGGAAGAGGAAATAGTGTTGTAAGATAAGTTCTTTCCATTGAGGTTTGTTAGTTGTCGTCTGAGATACGTTAATTGTACGTCCGTTCAAACATGGTCCAGTGAACACGCGGAAACAAAAGGAGTGCGTAATAATTCAACGAAACTTGACGAAAAGGCTGCTGCTGAACGGACCAAAACATACATTGCTCTACTCAAATAAACGTCTATGTGACGGAGTCGAGTGCAAACAGAGATCGAGTGAACCAAGCTGCACTTCAAACTGACAACGAAAAATTGTCCTAGCTCTAGGCGCTATGCAGGAAGAGCCTTGTGTCAAAAGGTTGTGAGTGTGACACACCTCCTACCTGCACCTGTGATCTACCATGTGTACCGTGGATCCCTGAAAGGGGCCATGAAAAACCAGTGGATAGTGCATAGGTTACGGATCAGGACGAGCATGAGTCCATGTACGGAGCACTGTACCCGCGCTGGGTAGAGATAGACTCTCGGGACACAACAGGGATCGATCGTGGACTTTGTTCGTCAACCAAGGTGAGTAACAGTCCGTTCAGGGGGCCTTGAACTAGAATAGATTGATCCGGGTTTTGTTTTGGGTTGGTCTGTAGGTTTGGATCCATGAAGAAAGCCATGAAATTTGATGTTTCTCAATCAAGACGCAGATCATCAAACTGCATCGTACAGATGTAGTGGGGATGTACGTCGGTCCATCCCGCGTGTCTTACGAATACGAGAACACTATCCATCGGCTTCCTCGCATACTTGCTGGATATATACAGAGCGCCTGAAAATGCGAATGTGATGATCCTCGACCAGGACGCAGATAATCAAACTAGGGATGTACGTCGATCCATCTTAGGTGTCTTGATCAACAGAAGTAACACCAATGGCAGCACGATCATCCATCGGCTTCCTCGATTCCTAGATTCATGCAGAGCGCCTGAATAAAGCGAATTATTTTCAGTGCGCTCTGCTGTGCTCTGCCGTGCTCTGCCGTGCTCTGCCGTGCTCTGCCGTGCTCTGCCGTGCTCTGCCGTGCTCTGCCGTGCTCTGCCGTGCTCTGCCGTGCTCTGCCGTGCTCTGCCGTGCTCTGCCGTGCTCTGCCGTGCTCTGCCGTGCTCTGCCGTGCTCTGCCGTGCTCTGCCGTGCTCTGCCGTGCTCTGCCGTGCTCTGCCGTGCTCTGCCGTGCTCTGCCGTGCTCTGCCGTGCTCTGCCGTGCTCTGCCGTGCTCTGCCGTGCTCTGCCGTGCTCTGCCGTGCTCTGCCGTGCTCTGCCGTGCTCTGCCGTGCTCTGCCGTGCTCTGCCGTGCTCTGCCGTGCTCTGCCGTGCTCTGCCGTGCTCTGCCGTGCTCTGCCGTGCTCTGCCGTGCTCTGCCGTGCTCTGCCGTGCTCTGCCGTGCTCTGCCGTGCTCTGCCGTGCTCTGCCGTGCTCTGCCGTGCTCTGCCGTGCTCTGCCGTGCTCTGCCGTGCTCTGCCGTGCTCTGCCGTGCTCTGCCGTGCTCTGCCGTGCTCTGCCGTGCTCTGCCGTGCTCTGCCGTGCTCTGCCGTGCTCTGCCGTGCTCTGCCGTGCTCTGCCGTGCTCTGCCGTGCTCTGCCGTGCTCTGCCGTGCTCTGCCGTGCTCTGCCGTGCTCTGCCGTGCTCTGCCGTGCTCTGCCGTGCTCTGCCGTGCTCTGCCGTGCTCTGCCGTGCTCTGCCGTGCTCTGCCGTGCTCTGCCGTGCTCTGCCGTGCTCTGCCGTGCTCTGCTGTGCTCTGCTTTCCAACATTTCAGTGTTGATCTCTCTATTTGTACCAAATACGCTATAACACTGCATTGAAACTGTACAGTGTATCTTTATTTTCCATATCCGATAAACAGCCGGCATGTAGTACTGTATTGAAATTATATTATAACGAATTTCAGGATCTAGAAATTATTTTGTATCGAGGGAAACACAGAAAAGTGCATACCAGCGCTTACTGACCATGTTTGGTTGCAAGTCCTTTTACAAGATAAGTCTCGCTATAAGATAACCTTCCTGACGGCCCA